CAATCAATTAATAATTTCAGTTGAAATCATAGTAACTCATTACGCTGAGACATAGTTTAAAAGCACCCGAATGAGCCTCTATAACAGCTACTTCATGTGTCTGTGTTATTATAAATCTGGATTTGTCTCCTTTGGCCTGTTCTCCTTGCACTTTTACTTGCAGTGTTTTGACAGGGAGGTAAGAAAAACAGGGTAAAGATAAATAAAAGCAATTATAGAGCCCACATGAAAATACTTTATACAAGGCTTGCAGTGCCTTTTGATGCATCTCCAGCAGGAATTATTTCAAAATAGTTTTTAACATTCAGGAGAAAATCTAGTTCAGTGTCTCTTTTAATACTTTCATTTCATTTGTAATTGAAGGAGTTTTATTCGAGTGAATAGATATACTTTATTTATTAAATGCAAAATTCCTAACGGCACATGAGGGAAAAAAAAAAAAGTCATGTTTACTATCTTGTGTTTTGTGTGCACAAGATACTATCTGGTACCCATGCAAAAGTATCTGGTGCGCACAAGAAAGTATCCCACGGGATCCTGTGGGGAAAAAAATGTTACACTCATTTGTTTTGCCCACGTCACCTTAGTGGCTCTGTAAATAAAACTTATATAAAATTAACTGTTAATATATATATTATATTAAATATAATTTAAAAAATAAAAAATTTATTTAATATATATTTATAAAAAACTAATATGTGTAGCTGCTGACAAATTTGTTTCTGCCTGAGCTCAATGTCATTGTATCACAACTGTGTCAAAAGCCATGTAAATCAAAATATTCAGGCAAAAACAGGTTGCAAGCCCAGAAGCAGACATTAACTGAGCAGGTCCCGTCTTTTATGAATTATTTGAGATGCAAACATAAAGCGCACAGCTTACTGTGGAAATGCAGATCCAAGAAATCTAAACTAACAGTCCAACAAACAGAAATCAAAAATCAAATGGAAAGTCATAGTCCAAAAGGTGAGCGAACAATAATCCAGGCGGGGATGGCTCTAAATCTACAAAAACCCTGACGAGCCACAAACTTGCAGCAGTGCAGGCAGAGATCAGGCAGACGCTCGGAATAGGTAACACACAATAAGGTCAACAGGGCATGACACCATAATGATCCAGCACAGACTGAATAGAACACAGGCATTAAATACTAAGATTAACGAATGGGGCGGGGACATAAAACAGGCGGATCACATCAAGGATGAAACAGACTAGGAACAGCCCTAGAAACGACTCTGCAGCCATGGACAGAATTTTACCTCACATGAGATTCAGTGCTGCAGTGAAAAGCTCTTGATAGATGTGGTTCTCCTAAGATGGCACATGACTCATGTTTTGGATGGCATACACATGCTTTACACAAGTGGTAGTTAAAATTCGACCAGAAATTGTCTTCCTCAGTAAATTCCATTTTCTGTTAAAATGTTGGCATATTCATGCAGTATAAAAGAAGAATTGTGAACAACACAGCAGTGTGCAGGTATTATTTTTGTCTTATGCGTTTATACAGTTGTTACCCAGCAGCTGCAAATAATTCATGGATGTATATGTGCCTCCTGATAATTCCCTGCATCTGTCTCACCATGGTAATAACTGACTAGCTGCAGCTGGACACAGAAAATCTAATTAATTGCAATTAGTTGATTGAGATCAATAATGAATATATCACTAGGCTAATGGATCAATAATATATGTCTTTGTGTGTAAAGAGTATGCCTTGGTGGATGACTGCATGTAATTTTCATTTGTATTATTGATTAATCTATTGATTTTTTGTAGTACAAAGTCTATAAAATGTGACTGAGGCAACAACCATGCTAGCATCTCTGTAAGGCTGCAGCACTCACATCGACCGCTAAAGTCAGCTTGCTAACATACTGATGTTAAGCAGGTATAATATTTATCATGATCACCATGCTAACATTTGCTAATTGGAGCAGAGCAAAGGGTAGACTTGAGGCTGATGGTGATTTCATTAGCTTTGCAGGTATTTGGTTGTAAACCAAAAGTAAATAAGACAAATTTTGACCTTAGGATGCCGCTAGATGTCAGTTCATTACGATTGTACTTCATCCTCAAGGGACATCTAAATCAAATTACATGGCAAAAGTCAGCAGGATCCATCTACTATATGTTGATACGTAGAGCCACTGGTGGTTCTCTATCAAAATGTTTTGGCAATCCGTCAGTAAAAGTTGAGATATTTCCCTGTATAAGCAAAACTTTGACCTGCTGGTTAAAATGCCCTAAAAAATGTAAACCTTGTGATGGTGCTAGAGGTAATGTGGGGGGATCACCAAAGTCAGTTGGACTGATCCTCTAGGGACCATGAACATCTGTACAAAATGTTATAGAAATCCATAAAAGTCTGGACCAAAGTGATGGACCCAGATTATGATCCCTAGAGCCATGCCACTAGTATGGCTAAAAACAATTAAACTATTTTGTTAAACTATCATTTTACAATTTGCAAACTTACAGAAAATTAACAATCAATTCTAGTTTTAATATATTTGACTACTATGCAACATTTTCTACTATCACCTTTATGTTTGACTTTGACTTTGAAGTAAACAGTATTTGTGAAATTTACATTTCAGGTTCAGTAAGTAATACACTTTTTATATGGGGACCTTTCTGTGTGTTGACACTCTATTTTTGTATTCACACGTCACAGAGGTGCTTTCACTACAGCAACAAAACAGTGTGACCCACTTACCTGTTTAAGTCCTTTTTGCCCCAATTTTTCAAAAGCCTGCAGGCAGGAGAAGAATGAGAGGCAATGAAATGAGAGGGAGGAAGGGGAAAAGAGCAGTGCTGTATGGATGGAAAGAAGAAAAGAGAGAGAGATCCAGTAAGTAGCTCTGGACTCTTACATTTGACCTTCTATAAATCAAACTGTCTGTCTGTTTAAGGACAGAAATGTCCCCTTGTCTCCCTGTTCACCTGCCTCAATTTTCCATAAATGGCTCTGCAAATCTCTTGCTGCTTGTCACAGTAATTCAGTCTAGAGTGGGGTCATTGTCTGCCAACACACCAGCACTACCGCACCTCTTAACCGTGTCTTTCTGTCAAAAGACTCCTATCCTGTAAGCCCGCGTACTCATTCACCCATTTCTGTGGCCCTCTTTTATCCCTGTGATGCATCGATTGAGGCGAGTGCCCCTTATTCCCCTCTTGTTCTCTCCTCCCGGCCCTTCTTGTGACCTAAATTCCCCCCGTGTGCTCATGAATTAGCTGATGCAAGTCTGCGTACCCCAGGGAGGATGGGAGAGTGAAAAAAAAAGCTCATTATTGTACTCATCAATAAGGTGGGATTAATCACCCATTGGTATGTGTGATCCATTGCTCCGTGTGTGCAGTAAACAGGCCCACAGGTCTTCATTTAAAATAATCTGTTTTCTTTACCACACTCCCTTAAGCTCCATACAACACAAATATGGTGTCATAGTGTTTTTTCTTTTATACTTATTCTCATTTATGGTCTCTGGGGTTTGGAGGGAGTTGAGCGTATCCCAACATGCAGTTGGTCAAAAGCAGGAACACATCCTGGACAGATTGTCAGTCCACTGCTGTTCTTGACACACATACAGAGTTGCAAAACATAAAGTTTCAAATGTGTTCACATCAAAGGGCAGTGTTATTTGACTATGGGAGGAATCATGCCTTCACTTGTTGATGTTGATTAAACTTTATGGTAATTTTGGAGGCTTTAGTTTGTGGTGCGTTTTATAATGTTTTCTACCCTCTAGGGTGCTATGTGTGATCCACTGGGCATTTAACTAACAAGCTACCCAGCTGAACCACATGCTGTTCATTTGTTGGTATTTTATTTATTTTCTTATTTATGTCACAACACCCCAAGGGGATCCCAAAATAAATAAGAGGGGTCACAGGATGATTAATAGGATTTTTTTTAAAAGAGAAAAAACTCTGCTCTACAATATTTTTTCTTGTGAAATATTACATATGTTCATCTCTTCAGGCTTCCAAAATCTTCCGAATTAAACAATTTCAGAAGAAAAATCACATTCATGTATATATTAAGAACAGTAGACACATTCTCATTTTAAGGTGTAATAAGCCAAAAAGGTTGGGAACCACTGCTCTGGAATAGACAGAATATCAGTCTATTTAAAACCCCTCAGTATCATTCAATACAACTTAACAGCACCTCAAAATGGGCCATGCGGTTGAATCAACACCTCTACAAAACAGGTTTAACAAATGCTGATATATCTTATATATTTACATATACAAGATTTGACTTATTACATTTTTTTTACTATGAGATAGTGCAAAGCACTGGTCTTCCAAAGGGAAATGCTATTTGCTTGCTCATTAGTGCAGGAAGAAGTGCTTTATAAACCTTTGAAGCTGGTAAGGATTCAGGGCACAAGGAAACTTAAGCAGGGCAAATACTCCCTCCACTGTGGGGCATTTAACAATCAAGCCACCCAGCAGAAGCATTTCTTTGTATTTCATTTATTTTTATTTCTCCAGATGAGTCATTAACATATGATCTTATTTGGAGACACCCACAGGCAATGGCACTAAGCAGATTTGTTAACTAAAGTAAAAAATCCCTCTGAATTTGTCTCTCCCCACGGTCAGGGCTCCTTCCAGTAAACTACAAACGGTCATATTGCAGAAATGATATCATTACTTAATTAACAACAGAAAATGAATCAGTGGCAATGCTTGACACATTACATATCTGTCAAGTCATTTGAGCAAAGGTTTCAGCTTCTCACATGTTAAAATGTGCAGTTTTAGACAGTTGGTCTGCCAAAACAAGTAATGTGAAGCCTCTAAGCTCTGCACTCTGATTTTCACCATTTATCTTACAGACCAAACAATTCATAGAATATAAAAAAAAGAATCAGCATATTAATCTAATATGAAAATAATTGTCAGTTGCAGCCCTGAACAGTTACATTTCCTATATCCAGCAAACTACAAAGCCAGATGGCAAATTGAATAATGAAAGACACACAGAATACACAACAAACACTGGTTTATTAGTAACAATATATTATCAAATACAATATTTGTCAAACAACATACATATAGACATGTAACTGATGTCGTACGGTACAGGCTTATTGGCAAACATCAGTCATTATTCTACTCTAATCATCAAAAGGCATGCCAAAAGAGGGCACAAGTGGTTGTTGTTCCGTATGGGTTACCTAAGGCTTCGTTACATTATCTTCATGGCAAAGTTCCACACATTACATAAGCACTTCATCCATCACCATGTCCCATTTAATAAAGTAGTGAAACATTCATTCTGCCAGACACCAATATATTGTGCTCAGTTTTTGGAAACCACCCAAAAGTACAAAAAAAACCAGTGCAAACACCATTACCTCATTGGTAAACAGCAAACGTTTTCCTATCACCGCCTTGCTCGCACATTCTGTGTCCAGGCTCCATTTACCCAACAACATATGGGACCTCCGTAGTGTTAATCACACTGATTCTCCTACCATCTACATGTGTAAGGCTGCGGGCACTGTAGCACCAGTATTAGCTACAGAACAGAAGGTCGATATAGGGAGGCACACAGGGTGCTATACCAAGTGGGAAGATAATAAAATCAGAAAATTTTAACTCATATTCTACTGATTAGAGCCATCGGCCAGCTGATTAGTTTATCGCAGGTATATTGGTATTTCAATGTATGAGTCGGCAGATAAGTAATAAAAAAAATTGTAGTGCAGTGTCAACCATGAGATTGTTAGTCGGAGGACAGTGACAAGAAAATGTGCCACTAAGTATATTGGTCACAATTCTAAAGCTAATTTAAAGCTGGGGTAGGCAACTTTGGAGAAACTAGCAAGAGATATAATCCCAGGCAGGGAGGTAGACAGACATCTTTGTGTCAGAGCATTTCATTTATTGATTGCTGTCGGGACGTAAAGAGAATGTCAACAAATATAACATAAAATGCTTCTGAAATAAATTTCCTACCCCAGCTTTAAGGGATCCTCATCAAAATGTTTGTTATGCAGTATTGTCACCAACTACTTTGATAATCAATTAATTGCTTAAGCCATTCCTCAAACAAAAATGCCAAAACATTTGATGGTTCCAGCTTCTCAAATGTGGGGATTTCTTGCTTTGCCTGGAATTACTTTGTAGTAAATTGATTATCTTTGGGCTTTGGACTGTTGGAAAAATGTACCTTGGGCTCTGACGAAATTATTTTCTGACATAGAGCAAAAGATTAATCTATTTTGGGAAAATTGGGAGAAAAAAAAAATAGTCATCACATTAATGATAATGATGATAATTGTTATTTGCAGCCCTAGTTGTGATTGAGATTGAGTTAATTCTATAATAATGGTATAGTGTCATACAGAGAGGCGTGTTAAACAAAGCTCTATAACGATTTGTTAGTTTAATTGTGCATTGCATTTCAGGAATGATTGTCCAGCGGTTTTAAATTCATCCAGGGCTTAGGTTGTATATATTCTTGGCTTGAATATGAAAATATATAATGAATCACTTTTTTCACAATTACATTTGACTATTCTATTGACTACTGTTTTGTTTGCAGTTTCTACAGAAACATTTGATCAAAACACTGAAAAAAAAAAAGGACCTAAACACATCTTGACAGGCCACTTGTGTACAACATGTTTCTGCTGCAGATAGCCCATGTGCATGAATTGTGCGGAGACGAGTTCACCCAGCAGATCCACACTATCTGCTGCTCAGTCTGTGTCTGACAAATTCAAGTCAGAAAACAGATGGGGGAGAGGCTGTCTTGCCAGCTGAGAGGGAAACTGGTACTTTCAAGTGGATTGCAATCATTAACTTCCCTCCATGACTCTGGCACACTGGGTACAACAAAACAGAGCTGACAGCCATGACCACGCAGTGGGCTGCTTGTTGCGCTCTCTTTGTGGTTTTAAATTAGTCATGTTTGGTGGGCAAGTACAAGATTCACGTTTTCCCAAATTAATCTTAGTACAACAATTCAACACCTGCATGCCCATACTTTCTGTAGATTGAAAGAATAATTGATCACTGTAATTAGCTCTGCTCAAAAACAACCAGTGTCCACTTTATTAGGTACACCTATACAGTCCAATTCCCTACAGCTGTTCTGCCATGATTCCTATAACCAGGCACCGTCAGAGGTGTTAACTACCTCTGACGGTCATAGTTATGACCTCAATGCTAATGGCAGAGCTGTTGTATTGGACAGGTGTACCTGACAAAGTGGCCGCTGAGTGTCTTACTTGCCTCTTGTGTTATCTAGCCATGTAGTTTTGGTTTCATTTGCCCAAGTTTAAAAAATTAGTCTCTGAGGTTTTCTTTTTCATTCGTCATGCCCACCATTGAACATATCTCTCATCAGAAACAGTGTCGCACATACTCAGGACAATCCACAGACCACACTGTCAACAGTTTGCTCTGGATACACTATCTACTGAGGAATCAGTACCATTGAAAGCTGTTGACAGTATGTTATGTTGTTATTCAGAGAAGTAACTCCCAACATTTTTGGCTTAGAATTCTTTAAAATTTGATCCCTCATTACAGATTATAGCATTACAGTCATTTATCTTCTTGGACTAATTCACTTGACTGGTTGTCGGTGGTCTAAAGAGGTGTAAATAGTCAAATTTAAAACACATTATTTTGTGTAAAAACATGTTGTTCTTAGTTATCCCTTTAATAATTTTTTGACATGGTGAATTTTGTTGACATGGTAATTTTCTACTGCTGTGCTTGGCACAAATCTCAGAGACAGATGTGTCAAAACCTGGGGAAATCATATCAAAAATGTCTAGATAACATAGAATTTGGGTAATGACTATCAAATCTAGTCAAAACTAATTTTCATCTGGGTTCATATAAAAAAATATATATATTTCATGGAAATCCTCACTTCTCCTTCCTTCTGTCTTCCACTGGACAGGTGTGATTCATGTAAAGCTACAGAAAGTAATCTTGACTATCTCAATATGAGAAAATATTAGACTTGCAGCTGCTCTTGTGTGATAGGAATGCATATGACTTGCAGCTGAGTAAATGTGAAACTGGCTGTCTGTATTTGGTCCATTTGTTATGTCAACCCCACAGCTAACGAGGTCAGATTACAGAGGGTAAAATGGTCTTCACAGTCAGGCTGACAGTGAGTCACGTGGGACAGACTGGAAGGTAAAATGTGGCAAAGACAGGCAGGTTAAACTGTGATGACCTGTTCGGGCAGAGTTCATTTCACTTCAGTTAATGGACTGTTTGGAAAGGACGTCCTGGCTTGACAGCATGTCCAGTGAACTGTCCGAGACGGTGGGAGACAGAGGGTGGCTGCTGCTGCGTGAGGTAATGTGCCGTGCATGTCTCCCTTCCAGCTCTTCATCCTGGCAATCACAAGTAAGGTTATGATATCATTGAAGGGACGAGGAGTTCAATCGGAACGGTATTTTACACATCTAATCTCAAATTCAATTTTATTTGAACAGCTCATCTTGTTCTTTAGATGTCTGGCTATCCTGATCATAGAAGTGAAAAAAAAGGCATTTCTCTTTAATGGCCTGGGCTGTACACCTCCAATCCATTCTCACTAATTATCTCTTTACTCTCTGAAGTACTACTAAAAGATGTGTATAATCAGCTGATCGATTTAGTAGGATCACTGTAATTTGTTTTGTATTTGATGAATCAGGCTGAGAGATGGTCTAGTGTCACTTGACCTTTGTTCCTCTGACTACTATATCTTAATTGACAGACCAAGAGACTTTGTAGGAACCACAGACATTTTTCACTGTTTTGTTTTTAGTTCTTCTTCTCTTTGGTACGGTTTAGTTTTTAAAATTGTATCCTCTTTTAAATCTTAGCTGCAACACTTCTAACTTTGTTAGACAATACAGCCATTTAACTTGCCAGGAAGACCTAGTGACTGCAGGAGACCCAAGTCTTTTATGAACTGGGTTATGCAATGTTTGTTTCTTTTTTCTCTTTTTTTTGTCTGTCTTGAAAAACATTCAAGGCTTAAATCGAGTCTTGGCCTTACTACAGAAAATCCCCTTATTTTAAAATGTTCTTCCCTGCCTCTTAACAAGAACTAAAACATATCATTTTAGTTTAATTAGGTGACCCTGAGGTGTCTTCCAATTTCAGGATATATCTTATGGTATTATAGATCACTTTTGAAGCATGCATTGGCCAAGCTCCAGGATGGATGGCCTTGTACAATGGCCAACAAGGATCTTTTGACTTTCCCAAACTCTAGATTTAAGAAAAAGTGATTGTGCCCAATGTGGAAGTACACTGTAGAGGTGAATATTTACAGTGTGAGATGCTCATTTTAGACATGACTAAAGCCCAATGTTATAACCAGTGGTTCCCACCGTGTCAGCAGTCTCCTCCCCTTCAGTGTGCTCTCCGTAGCGATTGTATAGCTCCATGTCAGACAGAGCGCTCTCTAATGCCTCCTCTTCATAGTCAGTGTGGTAGTCTGACTCCTCTGAGGGAGGGAAGGAGCAGATGAATTGAAGAAAAGAAGCACATTACGGGTGAATATGTGGTGTTTAAAAGAGGTGACAAATAAATGTGGGTGTGCAGGTGAATGAGTCAGAAAAGCAAAATTGTGCAACAATGTGAGGAACCAAACAGGGCAGTTTGATGAGTGATGGGCAACAAATAGATTTTAAATAGAAAGAAGAGGAAGAATGAGAAGAATGAAGATATCGGTGAAAAACATCATTGGTTGCTGTATTAGGTTGCACTCAAAACATAAAACAACAAATTTAAATATGTAATTTGTTTCTATTTGATTGCAAATATTACATTTGGACAGGTCGTTCAGTATGTTAAAACCTGTGTGTGCAGTGTAACACATAATTGCTAAAAATGTATTCTGCAGTGGAGATTCAGCAGTCCATTTCTTTTCCTATCTGAAACAGATTGATTTGCTAATAGAGTATGACAGGAAAAAGAAAACCCGCCCAAAAACAAATAAAAACGAGCACCGGCAAAGACAAACATGGGGGAGAAACATTAATAGCATACCTTCCCCCAGAAATTGTGTGCGCACAATAAAAAAAAAAAAGCCCTAATTTGCAATAGCTGGGATCAAGTAGACTTATGCATCTACGCGCACGTAGGAAGGAAGAAAGGAAGGAAAAACTGCTCTCGGCTGAGTGCAATGATGCCACAAGAGTCTATGACATATAGTTCACAAGGGAGCGTGGGTAAAGTGTAGGGGAAGGGCCAACTGTCACCAATGAAAGTGTCTGTCGTTCTGTGTCTTTATACAAAGTTTGGCCATGTTATGTGAATCTGTTTAGAATATATGTGCCTTTTTGCAATAGGCCACACCCACTGCCACACCCTTCGCACTTCAACACACACCTACACACACACACACACACACACACACTTAACCTTCATGCCAAATTTCAACCTCCTAGGGAGAAACCTCTACGGCAAAGGGTGGGGACATTTTTGTGGACTGACCAACCAACTGAACGACCAGGCGACCTACAGAGTTGCTGGCCACAGCTTAAATGTATCATCACGGGTGTTTCTGACTATGAGCGTATCTGTAATTTTACCGTCCACCAGTGCAGGTTTGACGGGCTCGATGCGGGACACAATTTCTGCCAGGTCAGTAAAGGAAGCATTGGGACAAGTCACCACCTGGAAGACACACACAAACATGTATACACATTAATGAAATGCTCAAAAGACTGAACCAAAAGGGACTAACTAACCAGTTGTGTTCTAACTACACCAGGTGTCAACACCTTGTCTGTTAGAACCACGGGCGTCTCTTTGTGTTGAAAGGTGGTGGGGACATAAAGGCTGAGATTAGGGGTGTGATGATAAAAGTGTGCCACAAGACTTGACGATGGGCAAAAACAAGATGAGAAGATTTTGAAAGTTGTGTTCACACTGAAAGCGAATCCGGCATTTTGGGCGGCTTGATTACATACAAAGTCAATGCAAAGATGCGATTTCCTGCGAATTCGCTCCGGGCGTTGCAGAAGAGGCGTTTTGTCACGAGATTCGCAGATTGGCTAATACAAAATTTGCAACTCTGTATTTACATGTTTTTAAATAACTTTTATTAAACCACGACTGTGTGATATTTTGAATTATAAATGTGTGATGTCAGCTTCTTCACTGTAGACCAATGTTTTACCAAGGAGGTTTGAAACATGTCAGAGTAGTGATGAGAATTTATTGTTATATTTCAAACCACAAGGAACACTGCTCTGCATTGAACTCGGCTTAATGGCATATATTCTACAGCATTCCCGTATGTGTTTCCCTCCACCATTCTCCTTACATTGTTCTTGCTTTGAGTGTTGTAGAACTCCTCCTGGTGTCTGTCTTTCATCATTTTGTCCACCACTCCACTGCGGCCCCAAACATCGAACACAGTCTTTCCGTGCTGGTATCCAACCTCCTGCATTTCACAAACACAAACCATCACACATTAATATAATGTTATCTACTGATGGGCAAAATCATTAAGAGATACACCAGAAAATGTAAAACATTCATTCAGAATGCCTTGTGGGAATTTGTCTGACGTTTATTACTGAAAATGTAATAAAAATAATGAACAGGGAAAAAACAAAGAGTTTAGAAACAGCTCAGAATCACAGGACAACAACACTTCAAACTTACAGCAATCTCATCAAACTTGCCAAACTCCAGGGTACGGTATCTGTCGATTGGAGGTCTGATGTACTCGCAATAGTCACTGTTCTTCACAGACTCCAGCTGCCTGACACAGCACACATAGGCCAACCGAGTCTGAATCTCCGCCATGTTCAACACCTGAGACCGCAAGTTTAGAAATTAACATATGGGTCACTGAAAAACACCTACAAAAATATCCTTGTTGTTATTCATAGGACTCATTAAATTTTACACATCCTCGCAGAGTCTGTTGTGTCTTTATTTTTAATCAATCCATTACCTTTACTTTCTCAGCAAGGGGGTTGAGGCGTTTCCATAGCAGCCACCAGCCTGAGAGCGAGTCGCCATAATTAGTGAGGTTGGTTTCATCCCGGCTGCCCACGTCAATAGCTATCACCACTTTGGCCCCCATGGAGCGCGCCACATCAGCTAGGAGGAGGAAACGGAAACAAAAGGTGGGACAGCAGGAGTCTCTCTCTCTCTCTCTCTCATATTAAATAGTAGGAGGTGTGAAGTTTTAAAACTGAAAAGAGTGCAACAAACCTGGCAGGTTGTTGATGTAGCCTCCATCCATCAGCAGGTGTCCATCTTTGGGGTCACAGAGAGGAGGCAGATAACCAGACAGAGACATGCTGGCACGAATATACCGCCACAGAGAACCTTAAACAGCAAACAGGCAACTCTTTTTAGTTTTATGCCTATATGCACTACGTATTTAATTGAAGGCAACCACTCTGGAAAATTACACTCGTGAGTGAGACAAATTAAAAGGGTCATGTCGCCAATGTGGACAGTGGTGGCAGAAATCTCAGAGGGACATACACTCTTGAACAAAATCTTAAGACCGGGGGAAACATTGCAAGTACTCGCATTTCGCATTTCGCGCTGGTGGATCATAACCGGGTTGTAAAGTACTGCTTCAAAATGCCAAAAGAAGAAACAGGAGCAAGAGACAAAAAATAGAGAGTAAGCAATTTATTGAAAACTGCATTTAACCTCAAATAGGCTGTTCATCAGCTGATCAAAAGTTTAAGATTTTGTTCAAGAGTGTATAACAGAAACTTTTTTGTCATTTGGGAAACACTTTTACCAAACAAGAACAAAGGATTCTTTAAAGTGTACCTACCATCAGTGTGTACTCTCATAGCCGAGGCAGTGATGTCAGTTGTGATATTGAAATACGGGATCCAAAGGTCCTGCATACACAAAAGGTTCCATCGACACAGATAAACATAATAGGCTCACATGATACACTTACTTATGTCACTTATATGTCTGGATGTTTATCTGCTCAAACGTATTGACTGCCATTAGGGTTGGGCGATGTCTACAAAATTGGCATCGGACCGTGTCATTGGGTGCGTGGGCATGCGCACGCATGGGGGGGGCAGCAGTCATCTTATGTGCACGTGTTCTCGCACAGACTTCACGCCGTAAAAAAAAAAATGGTACACTATTAACTTACATTACAAGTCACGGTGGATATTTTACGCACATACCAGGTAAAACAACAGTGAACACAGAGTGCAGATGTTGGTTTCAGTTGTTTGATAGGCTGCGTCATTAATAAGCTGACGTGCAGTTCACCTGCTGCCGTGATAACGGATCACGGGTAGAAATATATAGAAGAAGACGAGTTCTCAGTTTTTAGGCGACTTTATAAAACGTACTGCTGATGGAGAAAATGGAGCAGACGGAGGGAGAGAGACAGAGAGAGGCGGGGCAAGCCGTGGTGTTTACCTGAGTTGTAGGTGTGTGTGAGTCAGAGTGGGAAGAAGAGAATTCCGAGGCAGGTGCAAAGCATACTTAAAAACAATAATAAGAATGTTCGAGGTCATTAAAATTGTCATGTATGTGCTTTTTTCTTTAGTCCCCATTTCAGTTCTGATTCTACTTAGGAGTAGAGCTACAAAAATTAATAGTCTACTTGCCAACAATTAAATTACTTGCCAACTATTTTGATAATCAATTAATCGGTTTCATTTTTAAAGAAAATTATCTGATTTCGGCTTCTTAAATGCAAATAATTTTCTGGTTTTCCATGACAGTAAACTGAAGATATTTGAGGATGTCATCCTTTGGCTTTGGGAAACATTAGTGTCTGACATCCTATAGGCCCAACAACTAATCGAGAAAACAATCAACGTTAGGCAGGAGTTAGGTAACCTCATCTCACTCACCTCAAATCTGTTTGCTCTTGAAAACACTGCTGATGCTGGAGTTGAAGGCAGCGCCGGAGAACATGGAGGTGACTGGGTACGTCAAATCCAGAATCTTCTTAAACACTGAAGTCATTTCCTACAGGGAAAGCCGGAAAAAAAGAAAAGCCAAAAGGTTTGTTTCCTCGACAAAATTCCAAGGTCTATTTCATAAAGTACAAAGCAGAATTAACGCCTCGAAATTAAAGTTTAATTTGATGTAAAAGTAAATTGTCTGGATTTTGATTCATTGTTTGTCTATGCTGAACATGATGGTTCATTTATCTTGTTTTCTTTCCACCTGGTGTGTACACATGCGTTTCTTTGTAATTTGAGAAATCTTGAACAGATAAATTCACTCCACATTAAAAAGTATCAACATGTTAACAGCGCAATCTGTCCTGTTCTGACCTTCTTTGCCTGACTTTGTGAAGGACAACATTTTTATTACAACAGTGGTTATTTTAATTCGATACGAAGGAGCAGCAACCCAGCCAGCTGCTTCTAGATGGAAGGTTCAGAAGCAAGGACAGAGCCAAGGGAGGACGAGGGGAGACGAGTAATAGCACATGCTCAGACTGCAGACCTGGACATTGAGCAGGTGTCTCTAATTAGCTGTCATGGATGGTCATAGAATTAAAGACATAAGGATAAATTTCATACAACTAAAAAGGGTCTGTTCATGAGATTAATGTACAAACCATCCAGGCCTGTATGTGCAACACAAACCAAACCAATATAATTATATCAAATGTCTAAACTGCATTAAAATAAAAAGCTGTTAGGGGTCACTCAAGGTCAGACTCAAGCAGAAAATTGAGACAGCTTGGAAATATTCCTCTCACCAAGATAAACCAAACCAAGTGGACGAGGAGCTGATGAACTATGGCACTGTACCTGCGCCTGGAGGGCAGAATGGTAAAATGGTGATTCAGTGAGTTGATATCTTGTGCTACTGGGGTTGCAACGCGTGCAATGGCCTTACTGTTTAGTTCTGCTAGGTTGTGTGTGGGGAGACCAATTATCCTGGTGGCAGTGTTGGTTATGCATGTAAGTTTGGACCGATACGTAACAGATAACATGTTAAAGAAGCAGGTGGAACAGTACAATAGGATGGGCTGAACTATGCTCTGGTACAACAAGAAGATGAAATGTGTCACCTATTCAGTGTCTGACCAACTGTGAACTGTGTATGCTCACAACGATCTCCACTTCTGTTCCTGAGATATGGTGTTGAATAATAATTTTCCAGGACATTATGATGCGACAGTGAAGTTGAACTTTGACCTTTTAGGTGAAAAAAACCCGTCTCTTCGTTATTTTCCACTAATCATCTATGTGAAATTTTGTCGGAATTGCCACTTCAATCATTGAGTTATGAGGTGTTTGTCATGGTCATTTTGAGGTCACAGCAAAGAACCAGTTCATCTTTGTGTCCAAAAGAACTTTTTGAATAAATTCCTTCCCCTCCAACAACTTGAAAACATAATGTCTCCTGCCACGACTGTTGCTTTACTGAGAATGGAAAAGGGGACTTGAAACGGTCTTATGATGATAGGTGGGATAAAATTTGAAACACCTAACTTGATATAAAGCAGATATAAAAAGGATGATATAAAGCAGATCAAAATATCATTGCCTTTTATATTTGGCTTTTAATTTTCGGGTTTATTACAAGACTTGTGTTATTCTTTCTTTGACTCTCACCATTGCCCATTCTTTGGCCCTCATCCTCATGCGACTGTGGCTACGGTCCTCAGCATATAGCGCCCCCATCAGGGAACCGATAGAGGTGCCACCAATGAGGTCCACTGGGATGCCGGCCTCGCAGACAGCTCGCATTACCCCCACCTGGGAACAGCCCCTGAACAGGAGGGTGGAGAAATAAACATAGAAAAAAACACAGATGTTCCCTGCCAGTAGAAAGATTAAACCAAAAATCTTTGTAATTATGGTAATTATAAAATCCATTGAGCCCAGAAGAGGCATCATATTTTAAATTTTATACATAATAGTTCAGCTCCTAGATAACAGTCCATGAACTTGAATAACTGGTTGGAAAGACAGACAGTGGGGTGGCTTTACCTGGCCCCTCCACCTCCCAGGATAATAGCAATAGCATTGCCAGTAAGGACTCGAGCCAGGCGGGAAAAGTCTGAGTGGCGGTCTGCTGGCTTCTCAAACACACGTTGATACAGCTCCAACTGAAAGAGAAAAAAAAGCATTAATAATGAAGAGTACAAAGGAAAGTGCTTTGATCTGCAGATGAGAAACGAGAGCAGAAAAAAACAACAACCGTTTCCATTCCTACCAGTTTGGGCAGGCTCCTCTTAGAGAAGACCCTTCGGGGACAAGACAGGTGGAGATGTCTGGAGATCCAGCTTCGCATGTTGAGCCAGTCCGCAGTTCCTTTGGGTGGGGGGCCATCTTCTCTGTGCAACAGCACCAGCTGCTTCTGGGCGCGCACTGCACTTCCTTCCAACATACGCTCCAGCTAGAGGGGAGGCATCGAGCACAGACGTCTTAGAATATTTTATACTCCTCACTTTCTTCAGAGTGGCCGCAAACTCATGACAACCTGAGACTGCACTAGGTTTAAGGAAAACAACATCAGCATTTGGTATGTGATTGCAGTTTTAATGTTTGTGTTTGATTCCAGGTGTGATTTCAGAAGAACTCTTATTTTGAGATATACCATTATATATAAAGAGCTACACTATAATTATTTGTTATATTTGGGAATTTTGGGTAGCAGAAGGAGCAATAAGAGCATAAATTAATTTAATTTATTTCCGTGTGTAATTTCCCAGCTGAGGCAGTTTCATTATGTGATGCTCCTGAATTAGCAGGCTTTAAAAAATTTTTTTTTTAAAGTCTGAAGGGAAGGTCAGACCTGCCACCTAGCCAACAGGCCCTCTGTTAAAAGTTTATTGTATGCACAAGGTGAGAGGATGTCTGTGTGTGCCCTGAAAGATAAAAATCAACCCAGAGCTATGACTCATTCTCAGCCTGAGCAAATATTGATCCATTTCTCCCACTGTCTCCGGTTAAATGGGGATTCATTCCTTACTTTTCTCTGTGACTGTTTTTCCCACTGAAGGCAATTACCTTTCCTTCATCATACGGACATGAACTTCCTTTCTCTCCCACCCCGCCTCTCTTTCATGACATCCATCTACCCTTTGCTCATTTCTCCTGTATGCCCAAGGGTCAAATACAAACCTTTCGCAGCCTGTGTGACCATTCAGTCGGATAAACCACTGGGTTTGAACATGATTAAAGAGTGCAATGATGAGCATGGCCCTTATTATCAAATCAGACTCTACCAAGATCTTTGTCTGATAACACGCTTACAAGGGCTAAGTGAATAATAATAATAATAATTGGTGTGATGATTTCTCTGAAGAACAATCCTAATAGCTCAATCCTAACTGATCAGCAACTAACTGCCGCTTTACAAGATATTCAGCTTTTCAGTCCAAGACAGAAAAAAATATCAACACTGTTTAAGAGTAGTTAAAGGACATGTCTTGTGTGGCTCAGGATGTAGAGCAGGTTGCCCGTTAATCGGAAACTCGGTGGTTCAATCCCCGGCTGCACAACAAATTGCCTCTGGTTCCGCCAGTGAATGAATGTTTGAGAATGTTGAATACAGATGTAGTGTAAAAGAGGTCGAAAAGACTAGAAAGGCACTATACAAAAACGGAGCATTTATAGTCAACAAGTCCCATGAAAAGACCAAAACCAACAATGAATTGATCCCACTGACAATTATTGCAAAACCCATGTGTCATAGACTGCCACTGTGGTACTAAAATGATCTTAAATGGTAGCCCACAAGCTCACAAAATCCACCACTGAAAATAGTCCGAAACAACTGCAATAACTACTTCTGTTTGAGAAACACTGGCTAAAAACTACAGTGCCCAACTAACAGGAAATTCAATTAAAAGACTGCACACCCACAAGATGCTCTGCTTTGACGTCTTCAGATCGCTTCTGATGAGATCCTTGTCATTTTTCACTAAGATTCCTAACCCATCGCTACCTTTGCCACTGATTCTCCTCTCACTTTCATCCAGCTGTAACCCACGCCTAACACCTCACCTCTCCAACAACAGGTTCCTGCTCTCCTAGTCCCACAATAATGATGCAGTCGGCCTGACGGATGCACCGCTGAGTCCATGGGGTCAGCGTGTTGTCCGTCTGGTAAAGAACTATGCGATGGATGTCTTCCTGTTGGCCCAGCCAGCTGGACAGACGGTACTCATGGACACTAAAGAGGAAAGGAGTCCATTAAAGACAGGCAGCATTGCCCAGCTGGCAGCACACATGAGATCCATTTTTCTGTTGTGCCAAGAAAGCATGCTTAAACTGAATTTAATAACTGAGTCAGAAAGACAGAAAGCCCAAATAAAAAATCTAATAGACCAATAAGCTGTTTGACAGGGGAAAAGATTAGGTGTTGAGATGTCTATTAAAGACTATCGTTTCCATCAACTTTCAGTCTGCCACAAAAGATACCTGTCTAGTGCTGCAGCTCCAAGTCGCTGTTTAATAATATCACTGGTCAGCAGAAGAGTGGGACCTGTATGTGAAAGAAGTTACAGTCAATATGTCCAGTCTAAATACATGACCGAACAAGATAGTTGACATGTCTCAAGATAGTTTTATCTGCAGTTTCACAGTCATGGCCAAAAGTGTTGGCACAGAAATGGATGGCAACAAAGTGCTGGAGAGTTCTGAAGTGGCCAGCAATGAGTCCAGATCTAAATCCCATTGAACACCTGTGGAGAGATCTTAAAATTGCTGTTGGGAAAAGGCGCCCTTCCAATATGAGAGACCTGGAGCAGTTTGCAAAGGAAGAGTGGTCCAAAATTCCGGGTGAGAGGTGTAAGAAGCTTACTGATGGTTATAGGAAGCGATTGATTTCAGTTATTTTTTCCAAAGGGTGTGCAACCAAATATTAAGTTAAGGGTGCCAATAATTTTGTCCAGCCCATTTTTGGAGTTTTGTGTGCAATTATATCCAATTTGCTTTTTTTCCTTCTTTTTTGTTTTGTTCCAATACACACAAGGGGAATAAACTTGTGTATAGCAAAACATGTGTTAATGCAATACTTTTCTGTGAGAAATACTTGATTTTCTGGAAAAATTTCAGGGGTGCCAAGACCTTTGGCCATGACTGTACAAGCTTCATATATAACTTAAAAAAGGGAGTTCCTTTTCACAAATATTTCTGATTGCACTTATATTTTAATGTTTTGTGAAAAAACTAAACTGGACTGTACTAAACTGAACTAAAACTCAACTAAAACGAAGCATTTTCCAAAAATAAAAACTACACTATATTAGCAAACCCACGTTATAAACGAATTAAAACTAAACTGAAATTGAAAACAAAAAGTCAAAACGAAACAAAAATAAAAACTAATGAAATCTCCAAAACTATATTAACCTTGGTAAAGACGAGGTGGAAGCACACGGTTTTTAATTACTACGTGAGAGATATGCTTGTCTTTTCATTTTATTATTATAGTATTTTGTTAGAGATATTTCTTAGGGGTATTTATTGAAGTAACAGGGAAAGGTCTAGCTTGGTTGTTTACGGACCTTTCAGCTCTAGTTATTTCTCTCATGTTACTGTCCTTTTAGGGAGACAACAGTTGGACTGATAAGGTAGGAAGTGTCAGGCTAGCAAATATTAGTGTTCTCTGGGAATCTTACAAGGTTGAGTCTTACAAGAATTTACTGGCTCCACAGATTAGAGATCAACTCATGAATAGTAATAGATTCCAATATGACGTAGCATTGCAGTCTAAACATCAGATAGATTTGTTGTTCTAGGTTAAGACCAGCTAAAGATGACCTGATACAGGAACAAGAGGGAAGACAGAAACATAAAAAGGACCAAAAGATGTCATGCTTCAGATTTGATTCTCCTCGGCCGGGCTCAAACCATGCCACGTTAAGTCTTCATCAGTCTCCAAAACTTCATCATCACACCTGAACCTGGCTCACAATATTTCTTCAACAAATTTTATTTAATTCATTTATTTAACTTTTTATGTATCGTCTCCTTGGCAATAGCTTTGTACGCAAGCCACCATATATGCACACCATCTTGTTTGGGTAAGGGGGTGATGTTGGTGGTGAGTTTTGTCCATTTGAAATAGAATGTATCATATGTCATTTCTATTGTATGAATTGGTGATGAGCTTTTAATCAAAATATTACAATAAAACAAACCTAAAAAAACACACACACACACACACACACACGGCAGGTCTTTCACCCCTCTTACTGTCCCTCCCCGATGCCTTAAATGGTTTTGTTGTAATGAAAACCAAATTCCTTAATTCAACGTGAATTTACCCTTTTAATCTCACTTGACCCAAAGCAAACACTGAACAGAGAAAATGAGCTTCCCAGTTCAGATTACGCACTTCAATAAACAATTCATCAACTGGGGAAGAGGCAGAGCTATTAGGTTGTAGCAGGGAACACCTATAATACAAGATGACCACACACATCATGCCTGTGCTATGAAGTCTGCAGACAGCTAGACCAGACTGTGTCTAAGGGCGGTCCAGATGTTTACTATCAAGGACCTGATGCGTCCTCTACCCTGAGCACAGTTGGTTAAATTTGAGCTCTTTTTTTTGTTCCTTACCTATTGCAATGAGTGCATGCTGCAGCTCCAGAGTGAAGGCAGTGAGAGGTACTTCTTCTGATACGGGCAGGACTGTCACAGTGGAGAGGTTGGAGGCCTGGTTCCCTGCATCCCACTTACTGCCGGGGGTTTGGAGGGCCAAACTGCGAGCTGGGGACATGCATACATATTAGTAAGCTTTAACAGTAAGTTAAGATAAACGCCAACACCGGTGGGACAACCCTAAGCGCCAGGGAGATGCACATACCTGTCAGAGGACCATTGACCTGCTGAAGGATCTTCTGTCCTAGTAAGTGGATCAACCTGGTGACAACCTGAGAGGCATTTTAGAAGCGACTCTGTGTTACTCATCAAACAGACGCCATGTACAAAGCAATGCTTTTCTTTTAAATGTGATTTATACGCAGTAAAGTAATCTTGAGTTTATATTCAAAGAAAAGTAAAGTAAAAATGGAAATTATTTTGGGAACCCGTTACCCACATCACTGTCCAATTGATGGCCCTGTTCAATCAACTCCATTCATTTTAAAGCAAATCAACATTTTCAAAGCTGACCTTTTCAAAAAAACACTACACAAATATGCTCTTTTCACAAAAAATAACTGGGTTTTCACATCAGATGAAATTGAATTTAACAATTAAGGCGCATGCTACCTGAGGGAACTTCCTCTTGATGGAGCTGAGTGCTCCTTCTGGTAACTTGGCGAGCTCAGAGTCTCGTACAGCATGCACTGTTGTTGCTCTGTTCTGACGTGTCAGTGTCTCCACCTGCAGGGAACCAAAGAAAACTGAAAGGTTCATAAGTAACTAGAATTACCACCCTGCGGTTGTTTGCCTCTGCCAATCAGTCAAGATGCAGGTTTTATCCAGGTCTGTCAAGACTCATATGTTTATATCTGGAAGGAATTCAAGAAAAAACGGTATAAAGTGGTTTTTTTTGGATAAATGGAAGTTATCACCATCTAAATGATACATATAAATCCAGTAAATATACATTGTTGAACTCATTAATGAAGGTCTAAAAGTCTAAAAGTATTTGGAGTTGTCCCAAAAAGAGTCTCAGACAAAGTGTTTTTGATTATTCTGAATGAATAAACAGAAGTTTATCTAAACTGTAACATTTAAGGTTACATTTATGGATTTAATTTTCTGAGCTTGTTGTTTGCTGTATTTATTTGATGATACTAAAGATTAAGTGTTATCTTGATAAATTTTTATTTAAATTCAATTTCAGCTGGCTTACAGCTAGTGTTTAGTTACTAGTTACTTTCCCCTAATATTCATAAGATGTACTTGATTTTTTATTTACTGACAGCAATACTAGTCTTATGCCTCATGCTTGTAAAGAGCATACTGGTAGCTCCGCCGTACATACTGCCAGTGAACAGGCTATGAATTTGAAGATAAACTACTGTTACTGAGGAACCTTTTTCCCCTCATGCATGTTTAAATCTGCAAGTTTTTGATGGACTTTGAATAAAAACTCAGAACTGTGTCGCCTGATATATCCTCTTAATATTTATCAGCGTAATAGAAGTGAAAAAACAACTTAACATAATGCACACAAAGCAAATATTGAAAATTACTACTATCCACCATCTGTTCCCCCTCACCATTGCGGTCCTTACCACTCCAATCAGGTCGCCGCGTCCATACTCTCCTATCAGCTCCTTCTTGCCATCCTCTTTCATGATTACAGAACGAAGTCGACCACTCAGCACTATTAAAGTACTGTCTGATTTGTCTCCCTGCCTGAAAAATATGAAGATAACTCACTGAAAATATGCAAACAAGCTTGTGAACCAAAACCTACATTTAATAATTTAGTTGCCTCCACTGATCACTTGTTGACATGAATCAATCAAGACCATTTTTCCAAGGTATACAAGGTTATCAGTAGAATACCTGTAGACCGCCCTGCCGGCTTCCACAGCCATCCAGTCAAGAGCAAAGTCTATCTGTCTGACAAAAGATGACATCCTCCTCACCACTGTGTGAGCAACATTCAGCACCACCTTCGGCTCCACACGCATTATCCTGCGGAATAGACAAAAATCAACAGAAAAGGGAGATAAAAGAATATTACCAGACCATTCACATCGCATTTTGTTGAGTCAACTATGTTTCTTAGGTCTACAGTCAACACTGTCCTACAAAGCCAAAATGCAGTAACTGGAAAAAAACAGCATTACAAATTCAACCAACTATAAAACAGAGGTAAAAATCAAACAGCAGTGACTGCAGTCCAGCTAGTTAAGACTGGCTGGTGAGATAGACATGGCTAAACCCAATTTACCCTGTTTATTTTTGTTTCACTGAATTAAAAAAAAAAAAACTAAAAATCACTTGAGTACATCTTACTTAGAGTTTTTTTGTCACACATAAATAGTACCGTAGCTAAATACAAAATAATGAAGGGAAAAAGGTAACTAGTTCTGCTAAAAGCTAACTTGCTTAGCACTATAGCCTCTGACTCTAGTGGAATTCACTGGTTGAACTACCTTTAAATCACATATTTTCATGTATTTAATTCATGATTCATTTATTGAACTAGCTCCTTATTACAACGGACAATTTTGTTTGTTTTCCCTGAGCGCCCTTACATTGTCCAAACAGAGCAATTATCCCAGCAATTTTCTAATTATGTTTTATGATTGTATGTACAATTAGGAATCAGCATAACGAGATCTAATTAAGCTTTTATTACTTTTATATCTGCCATACAGTTTGGCTAAGAGCCTTCAAACTTCACTGTATCTTTAGTAACTGCTCTCTGCCTTTGTAAGGCAGTACATAAGACTACATATCTTGAGAACACCTTTCTGCATGGATAGGTGTGTGTGCAGGTGTGTCCATGGCACTGACTCATAGAAGTGTGTTTTGGAAATGGAGAGGAAGCTGCAGTCTCGCTGGGCTCGAACAGTGAACAGGAGGGGCTCTCCGGTCAGGACAGCTAGTTGACCGACAAGCTCTCCGGGGTGCGTCACAAAAAGACGCGTCTCTTCTTCGCGGTCAATCATCCGCTGGTAAACATGGAGGAGGCCAGAAATCACAAACTGCATGCTCACCTCCTGAAGCACCAAGAGGAGAGAGAGAGGAGAGAAATCTGAAGATGAAGGCCTAGACTCAGGTGAAATCTTATTTCATTTCTTTGTGTGGCTCCATTGACTGAGTAGCTGAGGGTTCAACCTGGGTTCAAAGTTAAGCATATTTTTAAATACTGTGCTGAAAAATGACAAATAGATGCAACTAAAGAGCAAGTTTAACACATAAAAGACACATGGCTCTACCAGTGAACCTGGTCATGTATACCCGTCCCTGCAATGTCTCTACACTGACTGAAGAGGGGAAAACGATTAAAAATGTCAAAAAAATGTCAAAAACCTTACATGAAACATAAAACAGAAAGGAAGTAGTTGTTGTTCTAACCTGGTCTCCCTGACGAGCCACCACAGAACCAGCTTTGACATGATGGAGGGTAACTCTGCCTTCAAGCAGAGTGGGGTCCTGCCATAGAAAAAAACAAAAAACAATGTTTGACAAAAACATATTTAGAACAACTGCTACACAACCTGCCTCTCTCATCTATCCATAAACAGCGATCAGAAGTTTCCCATAAAACATGGTAAACAACATACATTCAAAATTAATGTTACCTTTGTTTTGAAAATAAGTAACACCTAAAATAATGTTCACTATCTGATCAACCTCTCACCTGCAGCTGGATAATTCCCATCAGGTCCTTCTTAGCAGCCTGGAGGATTGTGCTGCTCTTACTGAGGTGGATGGCATCGGACTGCCCCCCGCTGTCAGTGTAGTGAAACACTTCAGAGGGTGTGTGCTGCATTGTCACACACTTCTTCAGGCTGGACTACATGAGACAGACATACAAGAGTGCCATATGTCAGAAGCAAGATGCAGTGGGTACTGGGACTGTAAAGAAAGACGTGGCACGGCAGGCAAGTCTTACTTTTTGAGTAACCGGACTGGAGGGACCCTCATCTATATTGACTCGAGCTCGTTCACAAGCCATGTTCAGGTCAATACCTGCAGGAAAAAGGAGGTGGATTATGAGTTTAGGAGAGTCTGTGCGTGTCATTTCTTTCAGATCAGCAACTGTGACAAATGACAAATTAATACAGACATATGCCACTTGGTGATTGTTGATGTCCAAGACAGTGACCCACCTGTGCAGTCGGTGGGCATGGAGATGGATCGCGGTTTCCTGCAGCTGTTTGAAGGGCTGTCCTTCACACCATCTGTGTATTTTAAAGTGCCAGCATTGGATCAGTCTGGAAAAATATTCAATGTGTGTGTGGTGTATATTTGGAATTATGTATGTGTGAGTGTGTGACCTGTCTCTGTGGGGCTCTCCGTGGTCCCAGCAGGTAACTCGTCCTGGAAGTGCAAACGACGAGTTGTCTTCCCGGTAGTCACCTCTCCCATCACACTGTTTATATTGGACAAAGGCACCGCTTGACAGTCCTGTCAATTCAGCAGCAAAATGAATCAGTTAACAGTCCATAATTCAGTTAGCGGGGACTACAGTAGCATTTTGAGTAACACTGAAATATCATATTTATAATAGATTAGAAGGATAGGAAATTTAACACATTAGGAAAATAAAAAAACTGTAAAATATCCAGTGTGGGTCAGTGGGTAAAGCACTGCAGAAATATAGAGTATAGACATTTCATTTGGTGATCATTTTTTTATTGATATTAAATAGAATTATTTTTATTAGTAATTTGAGGTGTTTGGAGACTTCTGACTACAATTATCAATAAAAAGATATTTTTTAAAGGCTTCAGGAATTGGCAAAGTCAACGCCCTTCCACATATTTCCTCCCAAAAGGACAAAATAAAGGAGTATTTTTGGTTATAATAAAGTTGGAGGCAGGCCAGGGTTAGAGGTTACTGACGTCCCTGTTTTCTGTGGAGGGGCTGTAGTCATTTTTATTCATTTTTACTGAGCTGTATGAAGGAGTGAGTTATGATACTGCGCTTAATGTTGCATGAAATTAGCTTGCATGTGTGTGTGTGACCGAGGGATCATGTGCCTTTCTGTGCTTGTTCATAACCAGTGGCGCTTAAGTATTCAATGAGGGCCTCTCTGCATGACTGTGTGTGTATACACACACAAATAAGTGTGCACTAATTTATTTTCCTCCTACCGGATTGAAGAGCTCAGTGGTTAGGCCCAGATAGTTATGTAACGCCAAGAAGGTGACTCTTTGGAGGCGCACCATGATTATCTACAAACACACACAAAATGAAACACCGAGGTAAACAGAGCAGAACATATCCCACACATTAGATAAAAATGATTATGTTTTATTTTAAAATAATGTGTTCTACAGGGAGGAAAATTTGTCTCAAGGCAAAACAGACACAACATACTGTATATTTACTGTTAGACAATCTGGTACCTGAATGACGCGAACAAGTGTCTCTGGGTATTTCTTAAACACAGACTCAAAGGCTGATGCAGGTAAACGTAAGATGGTGGAGCGAGTTGCAGCCCGTGTCAATACAGTCTTATATGGAGCAGGATAACCCTGGAAGAAGCAGGAAAAAAACGATTAGAAAGGCATAGAATTAAGACAGAGGAGCCATTCACTAAAACCTCATATAAATCTTTGACTTCTAAATTGATAGCCACCTAATTAGAGCTGTCCACAGAGTAACTGATTGGACTAACAGCATTTAACCTTAATTCATTCATACATACGTACCCGCACCATACCATCCATCTATCAATCCATCAATACATACTAGGACTTAACGATTTTGAAAAACTATCTAATTGCGATTATTTTGACCAATATGGCATGTTATGATATGCAGTACCAGGGGGAATGATCATTTTAAAATTATAACTCTTATTTTGATTGAAAACCATATTAAAATGAATTATGGCGTACATTTATGCGGGGACCCATACCAAAGAAAGATGTTTTCTCTAGAATATGATGTGTGGGCCAGGACAGCTCTGCAGCACTACAATATTTCATTTAAAATGGTATTTTGGCACGTATCACCTTTAACAAATATTGCAATTTCGATAAAATTTCAATTATTTGTTCGGCCCTAATGTACATGCATACCATTACATACAAGGTATTTAGACTGCTTGCAGCATTTCAAATATGTAGTATGATTAAAAGTAAACAGAAACTTACAAGTGAGTATGATCCAGTGTATTTGTTTTTTCAAGCTTTGATTTCTTAATTTTTAAGATAAAAACATAATTTGTAACTTTTATAACAACAACAACATAGGAAATGGAAACAAAAACAGAGCATGCCACTGGACCAACTTGACACACAGGGATATGGGGGTAAAGGATGAACAAATTGAGCGGAACAAGAAGTACACAAAGGTTTGCTTCTAAACAAGAGAACCATAAGTGAATGTATGAACTGTGTAGAGGAGATGGAGGACTGAGACACCAACAGAGGACAAGAGAAGTCAGAAGCAGAGAAGAGAAATAAAGAGCTCACAGTGATGATGTCCAGAATACTGAGCAGACTGTGGACGCTATCTCCTGGGTGCACGTCCTTTACTACTGGTTCTGTACCGTCCTATAAAACAGGAAAACACAAATAACATCTAAATATAGATAAAGGTAGGGAGAGCCATTATTTTTCTTCTACTTCTTGGTTTCTGAAACAGCAGACTGCATCTAGATGAATGTTACATTACTGCCCTCTCAAAAGGTAGAGGAGGACATGTAAACATTCGACAGAGTAAAGTCTGCTTATGCCCTTGCTTCAGACTTCATTAACTGTTAATAATTAGAGACCCCATCACTGGAGACCTATCAAAATAAAACAGTACAGGATTCATGTTTGTTACAGTTATATCTTGATTTTAAACACATTTCAGTCAGTTTATCACTCTGCCAGACAAGAGTCTTCTAGATTTCAAATTTTAAAGCTTCTCTTTTTGATACTTTTGTATTTTAACAATGGTATAAATGGTTGCGCGTAATATGATCGTGAAGACAGCAATTAAAAATGTAGGTTAATTATACAGCGCATCTGAGCCGTTTTAAACAGTCAGGCAGTTACAAATTGATTCCATTGTCATCCTTGTGTGACAGATCTGCTCGTCAGTCACAAGCTCTATGCGCCTCCTGTTACGGTCCAAATCACCAATCAGAGCAGGCACAGGGTGTGTACATTTTACAATGACAAACAAAAATAGAGGAAAACGTCGTGGCGTCGGCCGAACAGACATAGGCGGCAGCTGTGCCGCGATTTTGTCCAGTGTCAACTCACACTGGAATTGTTTCAGCAGTGGAGCGTTAGCCTGCCCTACGTTGTTGACGTGTTGTTAATTTGTAATTTTGTGTGCTTCTACTACTGATAACAGCTCTCTGTGAACTGGTTCTGTTCCACTCTCGGCACGGCTACAAATCCCATATGGAGCATTTCAGAATAAGCGATTTGCCTGCCCGACTTTGCGGACATGTACAGATTTTGTTGATTTGTTCAGTTTTCCTTGATTTTTGTGCTTCTACCATGGTTACGTAGATTACGTAGTTCAATTGTTTCTTTATTTTGTCTGTTTTTACTGTGTTTATTGTTGATATACGATCAGGAGTCTGCAAAGGGTGTTTTATTTTTTAAATTGACCAGATTCTCTCTGCCATTCTGTGTCTGACTTCCTGCCTGGTTCATCTGCTCTGTGCTGCTTGAAGCAGCTTCCGTCAAAAATAGACTAGCATTGAATATTGAACTTTTTTTTGAAATCGCGAATCGAATCGTAATCACAATATCTGGCAGAAAAATGGTATTAGATTAATAAATCGTTCAGCCCTACCAACAACTATTATATAACAAAACCAAATTATGTTTGTTTTCTGAAAAGAAGAACTGAAAATCAACATGCTATCCACGTACGTTCTCCTGGATGCAAAGCTCGAGTCGTCCATCCTGTACCACATAGATGCTATCGTCATCATCTCCTGGCCTGAACAGACCTTCACCCTCTTGCAGCTCGATAAACACCATGTGCCGACATAGCTCTAGGAACAAAGGCTTCTCAAAATGACCCAAGACCCTACAACAAGTTGCAGAATACACACATTATCAAGACAGGAGAAACAATGGGAGAAGCTAAATCTGCAGGAACCATTAAATATTTGTCTACCTGACATTCTTCAGCATGTAGAGGACCTCAGAGGGTAGGTTTGAGCTCTGCACATCAAACTCTGTTAGGTCAGCTTCCAGCAGGGAGGGAGGAGGTTCCTTGGGCTGCAGGGTGGGAGGATCTTTACGGATCCTCAGGATTCTGTTGACAAGCACAGAATATTTAACAAATTCCTTCAATCAATCCACAAAGCAAATCTCAAAACAAATCAGAAGAAGCATTTCAAGGCTTCACTTGCACACACGTAATAATAATTTGGAGCGTACTTGCGAGCTATGCTCAGAACTTTGGTTCTTTTGCGTATGCGTTGCGGTGGCTTTGATACTGAGGTAGAGGTGGGAGGAGGAATCGAGGACAGCGTCTGGACCTTAAAAATCAAACACATTCAATATTTAAAGGTTTGCTGCTGTTTATTGGAGGCAGAGAAGGAGTTAATATTACCATGAGGACCTGCATTCATTACTAAGCTTTATGGATTATATTGCCAGTGGAACACGTTTCATGCAGCAGTGCAACAAGATACAAACACTTGATGAATGTAGAAATTAGATTTTTACACAGCATAATCGCTACCCTAAATATTTATGAATGCCTGTTTACCTCATTTATAGTACTGAGATGAATCTACCCTACTGTAAATGTTTGCATAAGTGTAAACTAGAAATGGAAATAGAGAAAACCTTTCGCATTATCTTCCTTCCATAGAAGAGCACTTTATCTCGTTTTCTGAAGCGATACTGGGGTACGCCGGGCTGTTTTTCACCTTGTCAGAGAATCCAAAAACAAAATGAAAATGAAGCCATGTTAAGACCACATTCTTGAGAAAATTTAAAAGAAAATATAGAATTCCCTGAAGAGGCGTATTTTTAGAGTCAAATAGTATGTAAAATATGTATTATCGCATTAGAACAAGTATTAAGTTCAGGAAGAAGTTGGATGACTCACAAGCGAGCTTGAATCTCCTGTATAGGAAGAGCACCACAATCCCAATCAGTGAGACTGCAACTGCAGCTCCAATCAGTACACCTGTGACCTGAAGACAGACAAGAGGGTTGCAATGATGGTATGGTCACATGAGAAGGTATTGCAGCGTAGTTGCCCACAGAATAGGACAATAGGCTGCTGGTTTGGTACCATTATCCTTCAAAGTCCACAGCTGGGTGCCAGTTAAATACATACATGCTAATTCTAAGCAGGTTTTGAGTCTGTAGGAAAGGAAATAAATAAATAAAATCACAGTATGAAACTAGATTCAAACTAGATTTGAGTGCACAATTGTCCCACAATGAAATGCTATAAATTGTGGCAAGTGGTGAAACAACTCTAGGAACAAATATTCTTAAGTATTAAATCATGTAGTCTGTTCGTTAAGTTTAACTGGCAGTGACATTCAAAAGTCACAGTTTGTTAGTACAAAATAGTATAGTATTGATGTCTCTAATTATCATAGTATACTGTTAGTATACTATGATAATTAGTTTATACACACACACAAACAGTATGTTGTATGGCCTCAGGACATGCTTTATGCAGACAGTGTTGCCAGAAACTTAACACCACAGTTAAAAGTCTTGAATTATATTAACAGATGTAAGGTTTCACAAGGTTTCTCTATGCTATGACAGAATGATTATGTGAACAGAAAAAAAATTCCCGACCAATTAAAAAGGAAAACAGCCTAACTGCGCTGAAAACTGCCCAATCTGGAAAAACGGCATCTAGGGCAGTGCTCTCCATGCAGTTTGAAAGCATAGGCTGTCAATGAATTGTTATTTCATACCATGGTGGTGTGCATCCTCTCCTCCACAAACTGTTGCACTCGTGCTCTGATGTGACTTTGTTGCACCTAAAAACAGAAGTTAGGTTAGAACAGTTTCTTTAATCCAGTCCATTTCAAAGCTTGTCACTCTGGACAAAGACAAAGTCTGCAGAGTGCATTACAATAAGTTAATGAAGCCTTAGTGATTTTATTGCCAGTGGAGTATGTTTCAAGGATCACACTAAGTGTGGTGCAGGGAAAATGTAGAAATTAGATTTTTTCACAGCATAATCATTTCCCTAAATATTTACAAATGCCTACCTAATTTATAGAACTGAGATGAAGCTACCCGACTGTAAATGTTTGCATGAATGTGAAACAGAAATGGAAATAGAGAAAACCTGCGTTCCTTTCGCAGGCACACTGCTCAATTGTTGAGCATTTATATGATCATATAAGATAATCATAACATAATTATGATTCCCATAGGCATTCAGGAATTGAGCAAAATTAAGCAAGTACACTTTTGCTGTTTGTCATAACTTCGGACCACACCAAGAACATTGAAAGTCTTGTTAGTTTTTGCATATTTAGGCTACTCTATGTGATCTTGTTTTGATAACTAATGCAACAAATGTGTTTTTTTGTCACTTCCTTTCACTGAGCCTCCTCTGAAACGGTTTGGACCCCCTCTCTGTGAAGGACCACCTCCCACTCTGAAAACCTTTGCTTTAATCCAACAGTAAGTACAATATCAACAGCTAATGACTGCCTATGAAATTGTCACTGTTCATATAAAGTCACCACTGCTGTACAAGCTGTTTAACGTGTTTTGAAAGAAATGTTCATGCTTACTAAAGTGGCCAATCTGCACAACTCTCCATCTTCCTCCCCATGGCAATCCATCCTGTAAGACAAGAACGCTTAAAAAAACGCCAGCAAACCATCAAATGTGGGTAGAATCGCAGTATCATCGCAGAGACAGAGGAAAATTACATGTGAGGAGGTTAAACTGAAGTTGTTGGTGGGAAAAGGGAAACTATGAAAACAGGAACATGGATGTGGATTAGCAGGATGTTCTGCGCCAGCTCATCCTGTTGCTTCGTAGTGTTAACAAGTAAACGACAAGCTAGCATAATGTTAATTATGCCTGCAACAAAGTAACTGGACGCTGATGTTTATTTCAAGGGGTTGATTTAATAGTCTCAATGTTAGCTACAGCTTGACGTTAGCTACAGTAACACTAGCTAGCAGCTGACTAAGGTTGCACCCGTCTTGTCAGTAATTATAAATAGTGCTTATTTATAAGTCAACTTCTTATCTAAGCAATATCAAACTCTCAGTGGACAGACACTATACTTACTTTTCGATGATATCCGGCGTGATGCTTCAAGCTTGTAACATTGCCAAACATACGATGGAGCAAAGTTAGCATGCAGCTAACAAAGTTTTCTGTGTGCTGTGACTTGCTTAGCTCCGCCCATGTTTCTCCGTCCACCAATAGCGTGTTTGATGTTTGCTGTTGCCTCGGTACCGCTCAAAGCCTTTGTCCAATCAGGAAAGGACCAGGTACATCCTAGTCTTCCTGTTTACAGCACTGAAGGTCCTCTGTGTGTTTACCCAACACAACATCTTAACAAAAGGGGTTTTTACCGGCGTTAGTTCATTAGCTCAAACACACGTCTTTGACTATGATACTGCTATTATCCAATTTTATAAGAAAGCTGTAGTGGTGGAGCAGTACGATTACTGTAGGTACTTGTACTTTACTTTACAAATATTGTAAATTTTACTCCACTACAATGTCATCTGGTTACTTTGTAGATTAAGATTTTAACACCTATGAGCATATGAAATATGTTGCATTGTTATACAGTAAAGAGTACATTAAGTTGTTCAAATTAACACCACCTTGACCAGTTACAACACTGAATTCTGCTTATATTTAATGTCTAATAATCCAATGAACATACAGGCTAATAATAAAAGTACTAACAGAGGTTATTTTGCACATGTAATGGGTATCTTTATTACTATTACATACTTAGGCTATAATTTAATTTGTTATTCTATTTGAATCTGTTAAATCTGATCTGAGATGTTGGCAAAACCAAAATGCCTCTGTTATGATGAAGAATCCGTTATCGTCATAAGAAAGAAATGATTTTCAGTGATGGCAACGTTTTCAAAAGTGTGAACTGAATGGTTAGACATAATATAGTTCTAAAATTAACTTCCAAACCACATAACTGTAACTAAATATCTACTGCCATTGTTTTCATTCAAATGATGCAATGGCAAGATCACACAAAATATCCTTTAATATGTATCAGAACATTTTTATTTTTCTTCACCCTGTCTCCATTCAGTTAAATTACATATATGTCAAAATTGAACATCACTGAGTCACTACTGAGAAACATGCAGTAACTTACACAAACAAAATCATAAAGAGGACAAAAAATTACATAAAGGGTTGTTAGTAATTTCCATTGAGATAAACAGTTTTCCTTGTTAGTTTGAAAGAATAGCTTTACAGTCTGCTTTATCTACAGTCAGGGCCATTTGTTTTTTATGTTTATACCAGTAATGTTCTAGACATATTTCATGTCAAATTTTAATCAATAAATTGCAATCAACAAAATGCAAATGCTTAGACAAAATACATGCACGAGCAATGAGACATAACATAAATATTCTCTGGGATTTACAGTGCTTTCTCGGTCTCGGTTTCTCGGGGCTGAATAAGAAATCCACATCAGTACAACCAAATCATATACAGTATGTACAAAAACCTTTGAAGTAGCAGTTTTCACTTTAAAAAATATATGAGCCCAATTCATGAAAACAACAGTACTTTTTAGAGAAAACGAATTACCAAACATGCCACTACAAACAAATTTCATTTTCCACACTCAAGCAGACTAAAACACAAATCATGTACGGTTTTCAGGCATTTAGTCACCTTTTCTCTCCATTTCTCATTCTATTCTTCTTTTTTCTCACTTCTACTGCTCCCTCTTGATCTATTTATTCAGGTACTTTGCCACAGAGCGGTAGGCAAGGAGGATCTCTGAGTCATTTGGGCAGGTAAAACGAAACTCATCTTTTTTGTAGGCATTATTCAGGTAACGTGTCAGACCTTTCAGCTCTGTGGGGATGGCAAAGTCACGGTACTCCTTGCACACCACCTGGAGGAAGAGGAGTTTTAAGATTGTATTATTTGCGAAAAGACATCAGTCAAATTTATAGACCAGGAATGATTCATCACTCATCTGCTTTTACATCTCTTTACATCTGAACTAAAAAATGAATAGACCTCTTTCCAAATGATGGAAAGAAAGTTTTTATACACTAAGTACTGCTGTACTCTGCTCACCTTTACAATGTTGAGTTTGGGAAGCAAGTTACAGTCAGCCAAGGTGAGGGTGTCACCGTCCAGGTAGAGGCGTGAGGACTCAGTGGCATTCGGGTTCTTGTCAAGCTCATGAGGCAGAGGCGTCTCCAGGTACAAGTTCAGCTTCACCAAAGTTAACAGAAATTTCTTTTCTAGCACTGAAAGACAGAAAGGGTGTAACAGGCTCCATCATGTGGCTATTTGTAAAACAGACATGACTGTTAATTCATTTTGAAATATCCAGCTACTCCCCTTACTGTCATTGGATGCAGGATTGGGGTTCTTTATATATCCTGAGAATGTTCGGAAGATGTCTTCTCCAGCACCGTTGGACTCTTTGTATTTACAGCATAATTTTGGATACCTGCCATTGGTAGAATAATGTGAGTGTGTGTCGGAGCAATAACGAATGAGATATATGTTTCAAGAGAACAAGAAGTATCCGCTGTTGTACTTCAGATTTCAGAAGAGCTTCTTTCCCCAGGCTGCGAGACTAAATTCATCCTCAGCACTCCACCACGTATGACTTGTTATTTATCCACCCATCTAGTGTATATAAGTTTTGTATAATGTTCTGTATATCCTGTTACACACCCCTGTGTTGTATAAGTATCTTGAAATGAAAATACTTGACGGAAAATGTATTTAACAATCATCCTGTGTCTTTAAATATCTCTATGTTTGCAGTCTACTCACTGCGGTGGGGCCAAGGTCTCCTCCAGGAACTCCTCAATCTTGTTAGTGTCCGTTTTGACCTCTTCGTTGTAGAGGAGGAAGGGAGGCTGAGAACCTGGAGCCAAAGCCTTCAGCACATCAGGTGCCCTGCAACAGAGCAGCAAACAACAAGCAAGGTCTAGCTTAAATTATGAGAACAAATTTCAACCAAACAATAACAAATGAGTAAGAAGGGGTCAATTAGATTAGAATTATTAGAAAAAATTGCTTTGATAATATTTGAAGTCATTGTTTCATGGAGTTCCTCCTAAACTCAGCAAAGAAATTAATACTGTGTAAATGTGAATATGTTTGTCACTATGTGTTATTATTGTTCCCTTGTTGTACCTATTGTAGCCTTTTCACCCAGTATTTGCTGGCATAGGCTGCAGCCCCTCTGCAACCCTTTCTGTATTTCATTACATTACACTGAAAGTATGTGTTAATGCGACGGTCTCAAAGACAAGACCGAAATAAAATGTGCTCTCACCTCTTCATGTCCACAGTAGTGAGGGTAAAGTTGGCCCCTTTTAACCAAAGAATCATGAAGAGTCTCTGACAGAAGGGGCAGTTCCCCACACTCTCAGCATCAACACTGGCCTGTCAGACAAACACACATTCATTACACACACATACACATCAGTGCTTACAAATGGTGACGTTAATCAACAATGTAAGAAAACATGTTTTTGAAATGGAATTCTGGTAAGTTATCTGGCATCAGTGCTTCAGTGTATCAGACCAAACCACGAATACCTGCACAGGTATTCTTGTCAAGCCTGCTCTGCTCTGCTAGTTTAAACCAACCTCAGAGGAATTTCAAAGGCAGGGTTGAGGCTACTTTCCAATCAGATCAAACAGCCCAGTACTTAAACAGTATATTGCTTTTTACAGCAGCCATGATATCGAGTCACAGGCATGTGTGGGAGCAAAGAAATATTTGAAAGGGCGGACACAGGTTTCCAAACTGGACAGGCCTCTTTTCAGTCTCTACTGTTCTCACTGGTTTTACACGGATACTGTGACTAAATACTAAAAAAGTATATAGAGATAGATATAGTGAGAGTAATCATTCTCCATAAGTTACAGCAATGCAGCACAAAACAGACTCTGCATCATTTTGTATAATAGAATTACAATGAAATGCTTAGTCTTACAAGGGTTTGGGTACTGACACATTTTGACAAGCTGAAACAGCTTGTTTGAGTCCCAGACAACATCAGCTAATGAAAGAAAGAGAATCAATTGGTAAAAGAGCTAAAATATACTAAAGGAGACACTTTGACACCTGGAAATTGTCTTTTTTCATCCATTTTTGTCAGCTTTTCTTTGATTTAGGGCTACTAGAGAAGAAGCCTGTTAAGATTAAAATAGGAAACTACGGACTTAGATATATATTAGTTAAAATAACTGAAAGCTGACTGAATGTTAGGTAAGTTTGCTGTTACTTTAACAAAATATAATGAACAATGAGATTGGTTGAGAATGATTTCACATTGTAGGTGTTACCTTAACGAAGAGCTCAATCTTCGGGGCCTCTGCCATCTTTGTTTCTGCCTCTCTGTCGTTTCTCTCTTTTCTGGTAATGTCCACCTATCTTTATTGGGTCCACAGAAAGGTCCGTTTCTGTCACTGTTAATGCAATCACAAGTCAGATAATTAAAAAGAAAAAGTTATTGTGCAGTTTATATTCCTGTGTAATTATGACTAATCTGCAATGTCATTCTTTCACACACACACACACACACACACACACACACACACACACACACATACACACACACAATCACACTCACACACTTACACACACATCGTAGTAAGATGTATTACTGAAGCCTGTACTCACACTGGTGGTCACAGTCAGCACTGGATGCAAGAAGAGCACTGCTTTATTTTCACTCCACCTGTTTTACAGTGCTTCACGTCTCCTCCCTAGCTTCTCTTCTCTGGGTCTGTTTCTGTTTCTTGTTCGTCTCTCACCACACCTGTCAAGTGAGGCAGCCTACACCCCCTCCCGCCTTACCAGTCAGACCAGCAAATCTGGATCTGTCTCCGTCTGCCCCCGTTTACTCTCTGTCTCTTTCTGTCAACCAAAATATGTCAGTTCAGTAGGCCTATACTGTATGGGTGCATGTCACACAGGCTGCCACATTACAAGACTAATGTAATGTAATCTGCGGATTCAAGTTTATCTATGACGTGAAGTGCAGATATTGGATTATTAAAAAAATAATTTGCAATGATGATACGACACAGCTGTGTTTATTTCCATCAAGTGCTTAATTTAGATACTTTGTACACTATATGACCAAAAGTATGTGTATGACACCAGAACATTAAAAATGCAAGTGATTCAGGTGATGCAAGTGAATATCTCATTTTAAAACTATGGGTATTAAGAAGCTGCCATAAAGCCTCCACTCTTGTTGATTCCAGGCTTTCCACAACATGTGTTGGAACATGGCTGCAGAGAATCGCTCACTTTAAGCCTCAAAAGTATTCTTAAGTTCTGGCCCTGATGTTGGCAATAAGGCCTGATTCGCAGTCGGGACTCCAGCTCATCCCTGAGGTTTTGGATGGGATTGATGATGGGGCTCCATGCAGACCAGGCAGTTCCTTCCACATCAAACTCTGAAAACAATTTCTTTATGGACCTGGCTCCATGTGTCATGTTATAATATGAATGGGCCTTTCCCAAATTGCTGACACAGAGTTGGAATAACACTCATCTAATTCTCAGATGCTGAGAATTGGGGAGTTGGTCACTCTGAGGACACATTTTAAGGTTTGTGGATGTATCTCTACAGTTTATCAAGAAGAGGGATTCACATTTGTCTCACCTAAAATAAAATACCTCCCTTCATCTCTCTCTCTCTCTCTCTCTCTCCCTCTCCCTCCCTCTCGTTCTCTCTGTCTGTATTTTGGTGTCTTCTTCTTGGTTTGATGTGTTTGTTTTGTGTTCATCCTGCAGCCTACTTTGAGTTGTTGATCAGCATTCATGACTGGCATAAAATGCTCTCATGTAGCAGGTATTTACTGAGGTTTCTATGATTGGAGAGAGAAAGGAGAAACATCCCCCAAGCAAGTGACATAAAGAGAAAAACAAGGTTGAGAGGAGTGAGATAAAGATCCAAAAAACAGAAAAAAACAGCTGGGTGGGGACATGGCAGAAGTCACACAGGACAATGTATATTCATAGGTGAGGATGCATGAGAGAGGAAATAGTGAGGGTGTGATTTTCATCTATGACTCTGTGCAGTGGAATCCACAAGTTAGTACAAGGTTAATTAAAGTAATTTAATATTATTGTTTTGTTCTGGACCTCACTGAAAGCTATTCTCCCTTCTAACAGCTCAAACATCCCTGGTAACACGGAAATAATCAAAACAAAGTGTCCTAGTTGTTTGTTGTTGGTTTTGTTGGTGAATAAAGCAGACAGATAATCAAACGTGAAAATCTCACACTCACACCCCTCCTGTCACTTTCTTTGCGAATGTGATGAAGTGAAAGGTAAAATGTTGTTAACTCCATCTCACTATACTATTGTTTGAGGCAGCTGCTCAAAAATCCAGAGAAAAAATAATGAGTGCATGGTAAAATGACAAAAAGGTGTTTTGTTGAACTGTATATTAAAGAAAAATGTCACTTCACTTTTGTTAGAGCAACTTTGAACAGCATGTTTTTTTATTCATGCACACTGTATGATATACAATGAAATTAAAAGCAACAAGCATAGGAAGACAACAAAACTGAATATGAGATATAAAGGCAAAAATACATCACCCCAAAGAGAAGGCATAAAAATGATTTAGACAATGTGCCAAAGAGGTTGCCAGCCTTGTTGACTTATGAATCTTTAAATGTGTACTTGTGATCCTTTTGCCTTGTCACAAGTTGAATATGTGATGTTCCCTCAGATTGTTTGAATGAATGGCAGAAAATGGCAGAAAACATTAATTATTTTATTATATGTTAATAAATTCAACCCTCACATTAGTAACCACAAGGCTAAATTACATCCTTTCTAAAACAAAAACTATGTTGACAAGTCATCCTAAACAGTGTGTAAAAGGACAGTACACTCAGATAATATGTCCGTTGAGAAGGCGGAGTTAGGGTAGTGTGTGGGTCGTCCTACAGTTGTGCCTGCAGGGGGTCCTGCAGAATCAGAGCATTCATAAAGTTGTGTTGCATTCAGAAAGAAGACAATAACATATGACTGAAATTTATTCATCACATAGGAAATTCTAACTTGCTCAGTATACATTAGGGGTGTGGCGATGTACCAGTATTACGATAACTGTGGTATTTAAAAACTAAGTATTGACATCATGTTAATAATACACATGTGATAATATGTATAAATAATCCAGCGTCTCTTAAATCATTTCTACTATTTTCCATTCTCGCTTTGTCATAGTAAGTGGCGGTAATGAAACACAATAAACAAAGTTAAAGATGAAATAGAATCAAATTTTCTTTAGATTAGATTACATTATCGTAAATTCTTTTGATCACATTAAGTGTAGTGAAAATTGTATAAAGAGGTAAAACAGAATAATATAAAAGTAAGTACAAATTATGGTGCAATGCATTAATCAAAGTGCAGGGCACCGTTGTTACAAAATACAAGCAATAACTTAATGTACTATATTACTGTAAAAAAAATAAATGATAATAACAAAATGAACTATTTTATGATATTGTACTTTTTTCTTTTTCTATTATTTCTATTCTACTTATAATGGTGCAGATTCCTAAAAAAAATGCACTTAGCCAAATTACATACAACGAATGTACAAACCAGGCACCTGAATGAACCTGGGGCTTTGAGGGTTGCCAGAGCCTTTGCTGGGTTTGTAATCCAGCCTTGCCACCAACAAATTACAAACACAAGCATCTTTCTTTTTCTGTAGCACACTACCCTCTTGTGGTCTTTTAGTATATTGACACAAATATAAGATGAAGATTTTGTTGTGTTGTCTGCTTTTTTCCCCCTCTGCACATAGCATAACAGAGCTTTCTGCTGTATGAAAGATTTTAGATGTGTGATTTGAGATCATTTTTTATTTCAGTGCCTTTGCCACAATTGAATTATTACTCTGCACATATGCACTATTTCTGGTAAACTCTTTGTATCAAGGGCAAATATCAACTCCTACCTCCTCCCAAACTTTTTTGTACAAACCACCATACAAATTTGAACCACATCCAGATGTGTGTGGTCAATAAATACAACATTACAGTTTAGTATTGTCGTTTTCTTTTTACTGTCCACAACATAGCAACACTGAGGACTCACTGGTGTGCGGTTACTCATGTGCACCCCCGATCCTAATTATAGACCATGTTCAACACTTCCCCTTTTTCCCCTCAATGCACACAAGCAGCAAACACATTGTGATCACGCTCAGTTGTTCTTGTAGAGGGTTGCCAACGAGATGAAGAAGCAGAGTAGCATCCTATTTACTAGAAAGCAAGAACTGAAGAGGATATGGAACATCAGAGAGGGTGGGTGCATGTACTGTGATGCTGAGCTCAAATTATTTTACACTATCTTTCAGAGAACCACACCTCAGCTTCCTTAAAAGGGACTGTGGTTTTTTAAAACTTCAAGCTCATCATCACGTCCCCACCAGCAGCAACCAAAAATAGTATTGGTGGTGACTCAGAACGGAGAACAAAGCACTCATCTTTTGATCAAGTAAGTGGAGAAAGCTTAGGGATTTTGTTTCATGTGTCTCTCTGGTCAGTGTTGTCTGACTTATGAAATGGTTCACGTATTCTTTAATATTTTCTCCAGTAAAACATCAGCTGTGTGTGCTGTGTGAAAAAATACATTTAGGTTTGAAAGTAAGTTGGTATGATCTTTTTACTTTCTGATGCTCTACAGCAGTTAGTGCTGCTCACTGCAGAACCACTGCCAACATTCAGTAAATCTTTCACCACATCCTGTTTGTCTTGAGTCTCAACTATAGAGGCTCACTTAAATATGAATAATTTCAATCATATCTCACACCTCTGCTGGCAACTATTCTTGTTATGATATTCTACAAAGACTGTCTCTGTACATCAGTGTCTTCCAGAGAAACTCCTTTCTCGTTATATAATAAATGAGCAAACGATGTTCTTTTAAGTTTCAAAAGAAATGGAATGAAATCAACTATAATCGAGCAGTTTTTTTTTTATATTATGAGAGGAGAAGTTACTGATGTGGTTTGAGGTATGTTGCTACTGGTTTGCCCAGTGTGGTTTTGTGTATTTTAGAAATCAGGTTGTGCTTATTTTATGCTGTAGACCAGTATTTACAGTATGTAAATCGTATATTGATAAATATGGTGTGGCTTGACAGAGGCAATTTGTATTAAGAGTACCCAAACGACTTACTGATCAATCCCATGGAAGATTTGTTTAGCTTTTTTGCTTGTGGTTTAAAGCAATGTTAGTCTAAGCCTGCAGTATGCAACAACAGCAGCAACATCATTTCTAAGGTCTCATTTAAAGGAAAAAGACAGCAACTGGAACAGAATTGACATCTTGCTAGTTTCATGATTTTAGACTGAAAGGTTTATATCTGCAGACAACACAGTGGATCCCCTGTGGTTTTGGAACCTACAGAATGGTCTCAATTTGAAGTCCCACCCAAAGTTTATAAATTCCACAGCTGTGAAACTAGAAACACAGAGAGTTTATTTTAGCACATGACATTTCTATTGTTATTTGCACCAAAGTTGAAATAATGTATACATATGTATCTGTGTTTTGTTGTTTTTTCATTTTCTCTTACATGCAAACGTGCAAAATAAAGTTTTAAAGTATTCTCAACAGCTCCACATACTTTGTGTTCCTCACATCCTCTGTGAATCTTTATTAGTTCCTTATTTGTGCAATTTTCGGTTATGGGTCTTTTCCTTTGTCTTGCGCAAAGTGAAACCCTGAACTTTCAAGACTGCTGTTTCAAAACCCTGTTTTCTGTTCTTATTTTCATGATTTTAAATGTCATAATATTCTCTTTCACATACTGAGTAGCAATATGTGAGAAACTTCTAAAAAAGAGAGAAAATGATCACAACCACAAAGGAATTTTTTGTGTGACTGAATTTTATTTAAATAAATGCAAATTCATCATATTAATGATCAACTGAAATGTTTTTGCATTTCATTTTGTCTGCTTTTGTCCTCAGTCAAGTAACAGCATGAAATCTGATTATCTAATTGGTGAATAGATGACATTTAATGAACGAGGCTAATTGTGAAGCAATGTCAACAGATGGATCTTGATGTATGTTTTATGGCTACTGCTACAGCACTTCTGACTTTCTCCAAATGCTTTTCTTTCTTTTTTTACCATATAGAAAAAAGACTCTTCCACAAGTTTCTCTTGAGTTGTGGTTGAGCAGAAACATGTCCTGGCCTTTGATTTGAGTGATTGGTGGTGAGTCCTCTTCATACTGGGTGTCTGAGTTGGAGTACCCGATAGTGAGTCCTCATTACAATCATCTCTGTCCCTATTCAGAAATTTAGGATGATGACTGACACAACATTTATTTTAAGAAAGTTCTTGAGTAACACCAGGGGAAAGAGTGTCTTTTGGTTTTCTATAAGAAAATATACATCATCATTTGGTGTCTATAAACTGCATCTAAATATAAAGTACAGTAGCTCTAGTTTTAGCCATTGTCTTCCAAGTGTTTCTTTCTGCAGTTACTCTGTTAGTCAATTGCGAAAGACGGGTCTGATCTCTACACAGATACAGCAAAGGCTGTATGGCATGTACTTTCGTACAAAATAGTTAATCTTTCAGTAACTGGGGGAATTATTTGTTTTCATACCACACCTCAAAACAACAAATCACTACTGTCATATTGTTATGACTACCACACTTTCCTTCTTACACACTACATTCATACAAAAGTCATGCTCAGCAGCTGTTTGTTTCTGCCTGTAAAGATAAAAAGAATGTAGTGAACAAAATGTGTTTTAGACTGACAGGACAGCGGATTCGGTGGTTGCCTAGCAATATAAAAAAACGCAGCCACTGTTCTTCAAATTCAACCAAAAAAGTTTTCGAGCCTGGAAAACGCTTTCTGTCTGATCAGGGCCTAACAGTAGTACATCCACATTTCTAAAACAGACTAGCTTAATTTGCAATGTAGTTATTTGTGGTGTAGATGTGATTTGTCATTTAACATCTGCTTAAGACAAAAGGTAAAGTCCCAAAAACCTCATTGCTCCTTCATAACCCTTCTTCTTCATTCCATTTTGTGACAGGTTTGCCACAACGCTAAAATGTCTGTACTCAGCTCAATGAAGAAGGGCCTCCTCCTCTGCCTTTTTTTTGTTTTTTCGCTGTGTCTTCTCAGTGCATGGCCAAGAGGATTCCAGGCCCTGACAGCCATAAATCCCTCCACCGTCTATAACTGGAGGAGCAGTAGAAATGTGACCATCCTGCTGTGGTACTGGCCCTTTGGCAGGTCATTCAGCCTGAAGGGTGACGTGTGCTGGGACCTCTACCGCATCCCTCGCTGTAGACTGGTGGACCAGCGCTCCTTGTTCCCCTCAGCTGATGTGGTGGTCTTCCACAGCAGAGAGCTGGTGCAGGGCCAACAAAAGCTGCCCTTTGACCTTCCACGGCCGCAAGGCCAGAGGTGGGCCTGGATGTCCCTGGAGGCCCCTGTTTACAATGGAAACTTGGAGCAATATGCAAATATATTCAACATGACCATAACTTACAGGAGGGATGCTGATGTCACTGTACCATACGGTGAACTGCTACCAAAGGAGGCTGAAGGACATTTGGTCGAAAACACCCCTCTGAATAAGAGCTCTCTGGTCTGTTGGGTGGTCAGCAACTACAGGAGCCACCACAAGAGAAGCCAAGTGTACCATGAGCTCATTGCCACAGTTCCTGTGAGGGTTTATGGTCACTGGACAAGGACACCCCTCTCCTCTAGAGCCCTCTTGCCAACAATCTCTCACTGCTACTTCTATTTGGCTTTTGAAAACTCAATCAGCAAAGATTACATCACAGAGAAGCTGTGGAGGAATGCTTACCAAGGTGGGGCAGTGCCTGTTGTCTTGGGAGCGCCATTACCTGATTACAAAGCTGTGGCTCCACCAAATTCTTTCATCCATGTTGATGAGTTTGCATCAATAAAAGACTTAGGAAAGTTTCTACAACAGCTTGCAGAGGATGAAAAACGCTACCGGGAATATTTTACCTGGAAACATCAGTGGAAGGTAAAGCTGTACACAGACTGGAGGGAGAGACTGTGTAAGATCTGCTCACAGTACAACAGTTTACCTCAGCAAAAAGTTTACACAGACCTAAAGGCCTGGGTCAAGGTTAATAATACTTGAGCTTGCACATTTGAATAATTCATTAATTTCTCTGAACTTGCAAATATTGACACATTTCTGACAAATTAGCAGACAACATGACCTACTGTTTTGCATCAGTATATATTTACTTTTTTTTGTCTTATGTTATTTGTAATACATTCTTTCAGAGTGTGTTCTCTTTTTATGTTAGGGCTGTGAAAAATCTGAAGTTTAATTTATTCATTGAGGAAAACGGTCCAACATTGCATATCTGTGAGTGGCAAAAGTATGTGAACTTCTAGGATAAGCAGTTAGTTGTGATTAGAGTCAAGTGTTTTCAATCAATGGGATGACAATCAGATGTGAGGAGACACTCTGTTTTACTTAAAGAACAGGGAACAGAATTTCAGAAAACGAGTTGTTGGTGCTGTGGAGGAGGTTACAAAAACATCTCCAAAGAGTTTGGACTGCACCAATCCACAGTCAGACAGACTGTATACAAATAAAGGAAATTGAAGACCATTGCTAACTTCCCTAGGAGTGGTCGACCAACAATTATCATTTCAAGAACAAGACGTGTAATAGTCCACAAGGTCACAAAGGAACCCATGGTTACTTCTAAGCAACTAAAGGCCTCTCTCACGTTAATGTCAATGTTCAAGAGTCAGAAGAATACTAAATGACAATAGCATGCATGGCAGGGTTGCAAGGAGAAAGCCATACCTCTCCCAAAGGAACATTGCTAGAAGTCTGATCAAGATCACATGGACAAGCCAGAAGACCATTAGAAAAATGTTTTGTGGACAAGACCAAAAGTAGAACTTTGTGGTTTAAATGAAAGGCGTTATGTTTGGTGAAATCAACATTAATAGAACAATGAATTCTGAATTTTTACCAGTGATTTTTAAAAGGTAAATATCAGTCGTTCCATAGAATTGTTAAAGAATAAAGTGAATGTTTTGGAATAGCTAATTCAAAGACTTCCAAGTCAGTTACTGGAAATGTTTAGTTTTAGTTATACCTCCACAGGGGTGTCACATCCTGAAAGCAAAAGTTCACAGATGCAATATTGGATCATTTTTCTTAATGAATAAATGACCAAGTATGACATTTTTGCCTTTTTTGTTAAATCTCTTGATCTAGTTTTTAAACTTGTGTGAATTGCATGATGGTGTTTTAGGTAATTTATGCAGAAATATAGAAAAAATTCTAAAGGGTTCACAAACTTCCAGCCCCTACAGTAAATGCTCACAAATAAGATGCTTTAACTAATAACTACATTAAAAACAATGACCAAGTGAGTTAAATTCCTAGCACTTTATAGCAAACACCTGACTTCTCTAGGGTTAAAAGAATAATGAGGCATTTAGGAAATATATTGTTTTGTTGCCTAGAGTTAGATGAGAAGATTGACACCACCGCACTATAAATTAAAAAAACTGCAGCTGGCTGCACACACACTGACAGGAAACTCTCTGTAAGAAAGCAAATAAGTGCATTGCCCAAAATGTTGAACAATTCTTTTAAATTTAACTCACCACAGCATATAACACTGTGTACTTTGAGGGCACCAAGGCCCATACTGTGCAATAACTTCTAGGCTTAAACGCATGTACTGTAACAGCACCTGACAACATACAATGTCGCAAAGGTTACTGTAAATAGTGACAGTCCCTGGTGTAATTTTTATTAATTACTGCACAATCATTAATATTTAATGTAAACACTGTGGTGGGGGCCTTTACATCACAGAAAACTTTAAAAAGTAGTTTGAACTGAACACAAATGCTGCAATTGGTTCCATGTCCAATGCTTTAAGAAGTTTATCCTCCGTAAAATGTAAAAACATAAAAAATATTTGACCAATAAAAGTAAAATAGTAGTTTAAAGGTCTTCTCTTCTACCAAAGGGAGAATGCCTCAAGCTTGAAACGTGACTACTCAAAATTCTCAACCTGTCTTTCTCCATCTGGCCATCTAATCATCCCTCGTAGTAAATGGCTCAATGTTTCCCTCCCTCTCGCTGATGTGTGGTGAGCGTTCTGGCGCTAAATGGCTGCCGTGCATCACCCAGGTGGGTGCTACACATTGGTGGTGGTTGAGGTGAGCCCCCCCCCCCAACTTCACTGCAAAGCGCTTTGAGTTTCAATGATCAAGCGCTATATAAATGTAATGCATTATTACTCCAACTCTGGACTGTTGCAATTGTAGTGTCAATGCTGATTGAAATGAAACTCATTGGAAAAAAGTCATATCCTCAAAGTAAGCATTTTTATATTTTCATAATGTTCAAATGGTAGGCAGGGTGATGTGATGCCATTTTAAAAAGCACTAGTCTTTTTGGAGTGTGGTTTGTTCCTTGACTTCTGGTGATTTCATGTCCTTATTGTCAAAAACCATGGTTTATTTGAGAGAAGTCAATGCTTAAGTTCCTAAAACCTGTGTTAAACATTTCCATTTACAGTAAGCAATGCAGATTGGTGATGTGACTTAATCATTTCAGTTCTTCTGTCAATGTATAATCAAAGGAATATTTGGTTGTAATTCAAGATGTGGGACTAGTAGCAGGGTGGTTATTAAATTGCACAACAAGAGCATTTGTTTTTTCCCCCCCAGACTGTTCAGCATTGTCACTTTTACTTAATTACTAGATTGCAGAGAAATTGAAGGTTTAGGGCAACTTGACTGAACACATTTTAGTGTAGCTAACATGTCAATAAATTAGAATTTAACAGCATTTAAAAATCTACTGGTTACAGTCCAAGTTATGATTGTATTCTCACGTTGGTAAATATTTAGGGTAGTCAAGCTATTCATGTATCAAGATATTTTTACCATTAACACTGGGTTACTCGATTGTTTTAATGTTTTCCTGACAGCTTATCAAGTGTAGTCTTAAATCATGGTCACCTATGAGGGATTTCCAAGTCATGAGGAGTGACTAAATTACATTTAATGGCTTCATTTCTTAAACTTAAATCATTGAGTAAAAATAAAAACTTAAAGACCAAAACGAGAAATACTCCATGAGCACCGACACTTAGTATCAAGTGTTATTTCATAAACTTTATAATAATAAAAAAAATTACAATGAAAACAGAGGTATTGAAATACAATATGGCTGGTGTGGCTTCAACATTGACAGCATAATTGAGTCAAGTTGGACTTAATTCTCACTACCATTCACCTGAGACATTGAGAATATATTGACATTGTGCAAGTAGCAGAATTAACAGCTAAGAAACCTGTGAGTAACAAATCAATCTTCACATTCTCTCAAAATATTGCTAAAGATGTCAATGACAACCACCATAGGGCAAAAGTCTGGGCTTGGTATACAAACTGACATATTTGTATAAAAAAAATTAAACATTACAAAACAACTTTGTGCAAAATCAATAGGGGGGGGGATGCCTCTGAACGAGAATGCTTTTCACTTCAAATGAAATCCTTTAGTTGCTCTGTTCAGATGGGACAGAAGTATTGCACAAACACTGACCAAACTGTCAAAGATGAATTTTGTTTAAGAAGCAACCCATACACTGCAATTAATTTGATAACCCAGATCCGTCCTCATCTGTTCCACAGAAAACCTACCCACGATTTAGCACTCTACAAAAGAACCATATACTGTAGCATCACATCTCACTGAAATAACTTACTATGCATTATCCAAGAAAGGGAAGGGGGTGGGGGGCACATTCAGCAACATTTAGTTAAAAGTTTTCTTGAAGTCAAAGCAGTTGCTGGTGTTGAGTTGCAGGGTCATGTAAGAGGATGTGGCATGTGGCAGTTCATGAAGTTTCACCACTTCCATCTCACTGCTGCAGTCAGCAGAAGAGCCTCCACACTTTGAGTGTTTTTAAATCACATGATCCACCAATATGATTGGTCGATCTGGTCACTGGGTGTAGAGGCTCCTCTTCAGCATGATTTGGGGTTGGACAGAGAGGGCTTTGGGAAGGCAGTCTGTGGTTCTGGGAAGGACTACCTGAGCTTGTTTATCCAGTCAGGTGACTAACCAGTCCGTGGTGCAGGGCTTGTTTCAGGACGTCGGGTCGATGAAGTGGGGGCATGTAGAGTGTGGGAGGAGGGGCACCAGGGTAGCTGGAGGCAGGGTAGCATTGACTGGGATTGGGGGAGGGCGCCATGTTCAATGGGGAAGGACTGTGCTCGTAATACTGGCCGTCGCAATCCTCATCCAGTGGCATGGCAAGGCGCTTTCCTTTCTGTCTCCGGTTGCAGAACCAAACGCGTACCACCTGCCAAGAACAGCATTAGTCTTTTGAAAATGTAACCAACTAAAAACAGTCTTTAAAAAGGGCAAAATGGCACCACTTTTAGATTTCATACTTACATCCCTCTCCAGACCCAGGTCATCAGAGATGTGTGTGATCTCCTGAGTGTTGGGCTTGGGACATTTAACAAAGTAAGACTCCAGAGCAGAGCGCACAGCTCCCTCCAGACTGGTCCTCCTCTTCCTCTTTCTTGTGTCAACAAATACTCGCTCAATCTTGTACATCTGGGGAATCAAATGTGGTAGTAAGAGTTCATGCAGTGTTGAATAGCATTATTTATGGATTATGTATTCTATATTAATTTTGTGTGAGCCATGTGTGGAATACAAGGTTCAAACAACGTTTCTTCTGATCAACAAACAGCTTAATTTTGGCCACTAGATGGCATATTACACTGAACATGGGTGGAGGGTCTTGATTCAGTTTGCTCAGCAGGAAGTTAGCTAGGCCTGAAAAGACCAAGGGATCCCATGAATCTCAGTAATCATCTGTTGTCTTGTAAACTAGTTGGCAGATGTCAGAGTAGCAGACTTACATCCTGGGGGTTTTCCGAAGTCTCTGCCTCATTCAGCCATCTCTGAAGAAGGGGCTTCAGCTTGCACATGTTCTTGAAGCTCAGCTGCAGAGCCTCAAAGCGGCAAATAGTCGTCTGGCTGAACATCTTACCTATGTACACACAAAATATCATATAGCAGGATTGATTGAAAGCCAAAATTATGGCGAGACAATTCATCCAAGTACAGATCCGTTCGATAACTGCAAATATAACCACCATTTCAGGAGTTTGTCGTGTTCTATGCCTTCTGGCAGTTTAGGTGCCAAGCACGGATCAGATCAGTTGCTACTTTTATTCAGGTAACTTCTTAAGCACGGATCTTCACACCAAACTACAAATCCAGAAACTATGTCTGGTGTGGATGACTAGTGTTCATAGTCTATTGTCCACATATCATGAATCATCACAGATGGACTCTAGGCTTTTCTTGGATTTACTTGTGGTATCATGGATCACACAAGAGCACTGAGCAACTGTTTTTAAATGCTGTCAGATCATAGCTATTTAATTTACTAAACTTAAAAACATAGTACAAACAAGTGGGAAATTAACTTACCATAGAGGTTACCCAGGGCAAGGCCAACATCAGCTTGGGTGAAACCCAAGGTAATTCGTTTGTGTTTCAGCTCCTTCGCGAATTGCTCCAGCTCTTCGGTGGAGAGAGTCTCCTGTGGAACCAGACATTTTTAAATAAACACTAGGCTATATAAAGGCCAACAGGTTAAGAATGTGGGCATTTTTCGAGGTGGCATTTAATTCCTTGGACAGGTTCCCTACAAGTTGCATTGGTTTGCACAAACTGAAAATTTGGTTTCGAGACTTTATTCAATGGCTTTTCTTACCTCCTCGGAGTCGCTGCACCCGCCGCTTGACGACCCGCTGCTCCGCGTGGAGGGGACCGGGTTCTGCGTCTGGGGCCCGGTGGCAGCCTGGGGTGCATTCACGCCGAAAAACGCATTCCCTGGAAGGCCGTTGCTTGGTGGTGAAGGGGACATAGATGGCGAAGATGCAGAGGATGCTGAGGGATTTTGATTGTTGATGCCGGGAGGTGTGATATGAGTGATCCCGGGCCAGAAGGACGGGTTCCAGGCAGGAGAGTAGAAGACTCCATGGGGCATGGCGGTGGAGGCTGGCGGTGCTGGGTACTGCTGAACCTTTATCTCAGTTGAGTAGTCATCATCGGTGTCCTTCTCGGCCTTTATTTCAGGTAGTTTGATTTGCTCCCGGGTCTCGGCTATGGGGGGACTCAGGTTCAACGGCTGTGTAGCTGCTGCTACGCCGGGTACCTGGCCGGTGTACTCGGGAGCAGCGAAGGGATACCAGTGCTTGGGTTGGCCAAATTCTCCAGCCTGTTGGTCGGATCCCCTGTAGTCACTGGCGACGGATGGGAACGGGAAAAAGCTCTGCGCTGATGCCGGTGTGATGCCGTTGTACGCGGTTTTGTTGTAGAAGAGGCTCGGGTCTGGCAGGACGCCGTGAGGAAGCTGGAATGACGCAGCGCTGCCCAAACTCTCCTGACCCAAAATTTGTGTGCAAGGGTTTGCCCGGCTGAAGTCATACGGTCGGCTTTGGCACTCCGGGGTCTGCGATCTTTCAGACATCTCCCCGACTGCGTGAGAGTTTATTAACAAGCGCTGGTCCAAAGTTGAAAGTCTTTCCACAAAAAAATCAGCGGTGACTGCTCAATGTCCTCATCCGTTTCAAGTTTAAGAACAAACCGAAGAGTGATGAGAGGGGAAGAAGATCTACAGAAATAACCCAGCACCTGTCCGAGAAGAGTCCTTTAGGGGGGGGAAACTGTGTAAAAACGTAGGCCTATTCCTGAGCAACTGCCGTTTTGGTGTAACATAACCACCAATACGCCTACTCCATGAAACACTGTCTTTAACACCACCGCAGCTCAGCTCACCTTCAAGCTCAAATGCTCACCTCCTGCCCCGCTCTACAGGTTTTCCTAATCACAGCTGCGGGTGTTGGGGGTCGCCCTATCTCTTCGGCCATTGGCTGGCGCAGACAATTGCGCACAGCTGATGTGAATTTGTAAATGACCTTGATTCTTCCTAAAGTAGTGGGCGTGTTTTCACATAAATTTTGAGCCTTTTGTGCTTCAAACCAACCGTGTTTTAAGCTTTTTAAGTGAATTTAAAGTCATTAGGCCTACGCTAAAGCAAAATCATTACTCAGGTAAATCTTCTGCTGACTGCAGCATAATTCAACAGTTTTAAATCACCTTAAAAAAGCATATTTACATTGCTAAATAGGCACGGGTCACTGCTCCTGTAAATACATATTGTAACACTATAACTTGCTTACCTCATACATGAATTATAATGCTCGGTTTGTTTAAATTATTCCCCTTCAAGGACATGGCTTTGATATTAAAAGCCATGTCACTGAGGCTTCAATCAGACCTGAATCCATTTTAATCACTAACATTTAGGCTAAATTAAATTAAACAAACTGACAGTGTAGTCCTGAATACCTGATAAAACAAATTAACTTAATTAATCGGGCCATATTTAATTTGAAACAAACAGATAAGGGCCATGTTAATATATCCTATGCTTTTAGGATTGTTTTGACAGCCCATGAGCAACACATACATAGCAGAGAGAAAAATAAGTTATTATGGCTACTTGAAATACCCTTTATGTGGCACTCGGATAGACGTAGCCTACACCCAAGATGGTGGCAGATAAACTTGTTGCGGTTGTAATTGACGCTTGTTTGTGCTGAAGTGGGGAGAGCTGATCCATGCATGAACACACATCATTTTGAATGTGTAGCTATGTTTTAGGCTACCAGCTGAATGTTTGAGTGCTATGTTTGTCTCGGGTCTTTTAAATCGTCATAATTGTACTGGAAACAGGGGTCATGCTACATCAGACAAAGCAGACTTCTGCAGATGATTAAAAGTAAAACAAAACCAAGCTAGAATAGAACTAGGAGAAATCTGAGTCTGAATCTAAATTATAAAAATGAGCAACAGCATTCAGGTGAACTGTCCCATTCACCCTTGATTGGTGGCCATACAAAAGACTGGATTGCCGGAGCACTGGTACAGATGCGCTCCCCCAGCGCGAGTCATTGGCCGCAGATTGCGGCAGGAAGACACACTGCGGGAAGGGAGAGGGGGTGCCATTGTACGACCTGTCCCCGGGGCACCCCGTGGATTTCAGATCCCGAGTTGCGATGGTCGACCATTAGCTCCCTTTCAGATTGAAACAATAAGTCTCAACCCTTTGATTCCGCCCCACACCCTCCCCCTCCAGTCCTCTGAAACGAACACCAGGCTGAAGTTTCACTCTTGTCTGCAATACCTTGGCATCTTGTTTAATCGCCTATAGCCTTAAGGTCCAAAACAGGTCTGAGGACCAATGACTTGTCTGCAGTCTCAAGTAATGTTGGAAAATATCTTGTATATTTGGTATCCCAGCTTGAAATCAATGAGCACCAGAGTCATCCTTTTTGGTGGCATGTATCACCTCAAAATAAAGTTGTACATGACTGGTGAACAATTTGATTAAATAATGATGTTGCTTTTGTAGATTGTGCTTTTGTAGATTGTGCTATTTAATTATTAATCAGATGAGGCTAAACATTTTATTTCAAAAGACAACACTGAATGGAAAACACCAGAAAAATATGATAAAGAATTCTAGAAGATTTTTTGTTACACCTAAAACTTATCTCATGGCCTACTTGGGGGCTTGTTGTCACAGTGTGCAAACAGCAGTTGCTGAATAGAGACATACTTTCTTCTTCTTAACCTGGAAACTCTGCTTACACTTAACCAGGGGATCAGCACCTTATCTGCACTCCCAGATATGAAACCATGTAGGTGTAGGACCAGAGAACTATGGGGAGACCACAAGGGCCTGGTCAATAGCTTAAATGACATCAAACCCCAACTATACAAGCATTGTCCTGCATGGGCCATGGACTTGGGAGAATAATTGTCATGCAAAAGACAGACAGCAAGCGAGATGGTAGACTTCAGTGAGAAAGGGACAGCAGAGCACAGAGCTCTCAGGGTGTCCAAAGGGGGGGGGGGGTTGTCAGTGTTGAATAGCTTGGTACAGTGAGGAGGAGATGTATGAGGGGAGTATCTGGGGATTTGGTTGAAACCCCCCAGATGTCTCAGATCTTGTCTTTAGTTCTTTTTAAGTGGCCTCTTCAAGACACCCAGAGATCTGCTGCTCACAGGGCATGTCGAGTCAAACAGAGAAAGGGAGAAATACGGCCTCAGTGTTAATGTGTTGCACCCTTCAACTAGTCGCACAAGTGAAGGAAAAAATATTTCTACCTTGAGGAGTATAACCAAAACAAGTAGCAGTCAGTATCATCCATTTATCTGTAAAAGGATTGTTCTTCTTCATTAGGGATCCAACTAGCGAAGCTGCTGGAGCTATTGTTTTTGTTCTCTTTCTTTCTTTCTTTCCACTAAAAGTGTTCGGACAGCAAACATTGCTGGATGAAATCTCACCAAAATTGGCAGATGGGTTGCACATTCTACCCACTACTCAGGCAGAAAAAATGCCATTCATAAACTTTGGTTTGTACAATCAAAAGCCACTACTCAGTTGATGCATAAAATTTGGTAATGATTGCTCAAACTCTGAGTCTGCAGTGATATTCAAAATTTTCCAGGTGTGGTACATGTGATGTCACTACCTGAACTTGTGAAAAAGTGTGTCGAAACAACCTCTCACTAGTAGCTCAGTCAGTAAGTCATCTACTCCAGCGATCTGAATTTCCAGGCTTCAAAAAGTCGACATTGGGTTATCTCAAAGACTAAATTCTTAAATCATCTGCATCTATTCTTCTCCTCTGAAATGTCAAATGTTGCATTTTTCACAGCTTGCTTGGATCCCGATCATTGCCGCTTGCAGCTATATTTTTTCTTATTTAAATTCTCACTGTCACTGTAGGCTATGTACATCCAAATGAAAGCACCACTGTGTGTGTGTGTGTGACATCAGACTGAGTAAAAAAATGACACATTTATGTATAACTGCACTTCTCACCTCAAGAGGAGAGGGAGTCAGTTTCATTTGGCGGTTTACTTAATTAACACTTACGAGAAGTTCTATTTATTTTAAGTCCCCTAAAGACAGCTGTCTTCTTCACGAGATTGTTAGAAATTAAAATTTAAAGAATTTTGTGAATAATGACACCCTAATCCAGCCCCTAAAGCACAACAAAAAGGTCATTTTACTGCTTACTTGTAATGTTTTAAAGAAAAAATATTTCTACCTTGAGGAGTATAACCAAAACAAGTAGCAGTCAGTATCATCCATTTGTCTGTAAAACGATTGTTCTTCTTCATTAGGGATCCAAGCAGCAAAGCTGCTGGATACTGCTGCATGAAATCTCACCAAAATTGGCAGATGGGTTGCACATTCTACCCACTACTCAGGCAAAAAAAATGCCATTCATAGAATTTGGTTTGTACAATCTAAAGTCACTACTCAGTTGATGCATAAAATTTGGTAATGATTGCTCAAACTCTGAGTCTGCAGTGATATTCAGTATAACTTGTACAGTATGCACCACATTTTCTTGGTTTCTCGGTGTTGGATCAAATGCCACCAAAATAATAAACAACACCCAAAACCACAATGATGTGTGATTTTATTTCAGAATTTTCTCACCAGCATTTTGACCGTTGTAAGCACTTTAACTTTAAACTGACAAAGTTTTATGGGTGTGGTACATGTGATGTCACTACCTGAACTTGTGAGAAAGTGTCAAAACAGCCTCTCACTAGTAGCTCAGTCAGTAAGTCATCTACTCCAGCGATCTGAAGTTCCAGGCTTCAAATCCCCAGGTGACCAAGTCGACATTGGGTTATCTCAAAGACTAAATTCTTAAATCATCTGCATCTATTCTTCTCCTCTGAAATGTCAAATGTTGCATTTTTCACAGCTTGCTTGGATCCCGATCATTGCCGCTTGCAGCTATATTTTTTCTTATTTAAATTCTCACTGTCACTGTAGGCTATGTACATCCAAATGAAAGCACCACTGTGTGTGTGTGTGTGACATCAGACTGAGTAAAAAAATGACACATTTATGTATAACTGCACTTCTCACCTCAAGAGGAGAGGGAGTCAGTTTCATTTGGCGGTTTACTTAATTAACACTTACGAGAAGTTCTATTTATTTTAAGTCCCCTAAAGACAGCTGTCTTCTTCACGAGATTGTTAGAAATTAAAATTTAAAGAATTTTGTGAATAATGACACCCTAATCCAGCCCCTAAAGCACAACAAAAAGGTCATTTTACTGCTTACTTGTAATGTTTTTAAAGCAAAAAAATACATTCTATGAACATTATGGGGATAAGTCTCAATCACTACTTTTAAAAGTTAATTATTTGATAAAGTAATAACATTGGAATGTAAATACAGCCGCTCCTGTTGAGCAGCACAATCGTCTCCCACAAACAAGTCTGATGGCTTTTTGATTTTCTTCCTAACGGCCCTGCCTTTGACACCCACCCTCACAGACCCTCCACCCACACAGGTTTTTATCCAAGGGCCAATGGCAGCCTTCTTTGCACTGTCCACCGGCACAATGGGCTTTTAACGGCCCTTGGTAGGTGGCTCAATGGGGACAGGAGAATGACTCATCCCCTCCCCAACACACACGGACATACAACCACATACACAAAACCTGCATGGAGTACATGCAAGCTTTCTCTCTGCCCCCTACCCCCAACACACACACACCCACGCACTTTGAGTGTAGTCATTTGTGAAGGTAAAACAAGGTCAAACAGGATCACCAAAAAACAGACAGAAAGTTACCAACACACTGAAAGGTAAAAGGCGTATGTGTCAGAGGAAATGCTTGTAGCACCGCAGTTTGCTGATTCAGCCAGACCAAATGTGTGTTTAAATGCAATTACTTTATTTAGTGAAAAAAGAATCTTTGTTCAGTTTCTTTAAGATAAGGCCTTCCTTTAATTTCCCCTTTAAGGTAGGAAAAACCATCTTATTCCACACAGTATCACTTTGCTGATGTATTTCTGTAGCATTTATCACACATAACACTTCTTACTAGGTTTATTTCTCTTTGTTGTATTCTTGTTTTATCTTAACTTGATGTTTTTAATCAGAATAAATGGCTAAGACACTGTCCATGAACAGCGATACACAACGTTGAGACCTTTGTTGCATCTCGTACAATCATTTCCTGTCAATCAAAGCTTTAAATGTATACCATGACCAGCACAAAAGGTTAAACAAAGTTATTTTCACATGTGGTAAAAAGTTTTAATTCCAATCCTTGGTCTGCATGTACAAATATATATAAAAAGTGAACACTTTCACTCTTTGTATGTACATTCTGCAGCACGAGTTTAACTTGGGACCAACAAGAGGACAGAGAGGAAAGAGGGACAATACAAGATAGTGATATTTACCACCTACACATCCATCAGTATAATCTGTCTCCAAACATTTCATTCAAGTGCTCAGAAGTCACTTTTACTGTACATTCCTCCTCCAACAACAGGATGCATACATACAGGAGGCAGAACATTTCATCAAAGCATTGCCATGATTCAAACACAGTACAGTCAAACCATGCAAAAAGACATCATCAAGTACTTCATTTCCATATATATTTATATTTTATAATTTTAAAATCTTTATTTGCAGCTTATATGGCAAGAAATAAAATAAGCAACACCAATGGTAACATTTTCAATGCTAAACCTTGTGTTGGGTTAAAGAGTTTATACAGAGTTGTGACAGATCTGATTTTAATTATTTCCTATCCATTAGGAATGTGGTTTAGCCATTATCTACGCATGACAGAACAAGAGAGGGGACCTGTTTCTCAGCTTATGTTTGTGTATGTGTGTGTATGTGTTGTACACTTGTCTGCTATTCTTTGTGAACAGCTGCAGAAATAAAGGAAAATAACAAAGGTGGAGGACAAAATTTTAACTTAACAGTTTAACATTTAAACAGGACAAAACACCTATAGGGACATGTCCAGGAGGACTCAGAAAACCTCATGTTAAAGGACAGGGATGCTAGGAAACAGTGACAGAAATAAATTAAGGAGAAACCCAGCTTACATATTTAGTATTAAAAGCCATACTCAGGGCAGACATAGTAAAGGGTCAAGAAAAAAAACAATCATTTTTATCACCTCATCTTCTGCCAGGATCCTCCATTTCTATACATGCAGTGTAAGATCAAGTGGGTTCTGTGTGTGTGTGTGTAAAGTGTTTAGCATTCACTTGTGATTCCCCTGATAATGTAAAGTCGAGTCATCAAACAGAGGGTTCTTCACTTCCATCTCTCCAGTCTGTTGAGGAGGTAAGAAAAACTGATTATCAGTCATTAAACAAAATCAGAAATGATAAGTTTAGTGTGTGTGTGTGTGTGTGTGTGTGTGTGTGTGTGTGTGTGTCTCTACCAACCGGTGCAAGTCCGGGGCACTCGTATACTGTGAAATCTCCTCCCACTTCTTCCTCATCTGATGTGACCTCAGTGTCATGGACTTTCTGTTCAGGTTTGTGACTGCAGCAGGAAAAAAAAAAAAAAACACACCCAAGTTGAGGCAAAGAGGTAAAAAGGTCAAAGGATGTTGCGGTTGAAAGTTTGAAGTGTGCATAAAGATAGGAAGAATATAAAATAGGGGAAATGGAGGGAGTGGAAGAAAGAGTGTAGAAAAACAAAACTTACCTTCTCACAGAGAGCATCTGCTGTTTTTTATGTTGGTAGTGATACATTTGGGCACTTTGGGCCAGAGTCTTGTCTCCCATCTGGGGTCAGAACAGAAGAAGGAAGTGTGGATGATACATATGAAAATGGCACAGTGCAGTACATCTTGTGGTTATTGCAAAAGAATAAGTGAGAAATTTAAACAAATAGCAGTTAGGTGAAGTAAGAGCTGTGAGCTTACCGAGGTACCGCTGGTTGCGCCAGCAGCTGCGCCTGCCCCTCCAAATGCAGGGTAGTCGACCTTCTGAGCTAGACGTGATTCTTTCTCCAACCTGTGGAGGGCATCATGAATCTGAGTCGCATGCAATATGGAGGGCTGTTTCCTGCCTCTGGCATTATAACATCCTTTAACATAAGCTCACAGTTGACAACAAATATGCTTTGATTTTAAGAGCCAAAGTGTATTCAGTATGTATAAATGATCATAATGGTGAAGTAACAACAAACACAAAGTGAAATTGACCCACCAGCAGGGCTGGGCATTGTATTCGCCATATAATTTTCCTCAATAACAATATAACAAATGTTCAATAAATAAATCAAAAACGAATTAACACTTAATTTTTCTATTAAGATATATATATTTTGTTGAGGAAAAGGGACTGAAAAAAGTTTTTCTTTTATTTTATTTGAATGTTCTATGGCTCAGATTTGTTAGGTGATCCACTGTTTGGCAAGTGTTTAGCCGCGTTTCAATCAAAAGTACCCGGGGACTTTTAAGTCTCTTTTCGAGGAACTAAAAAGTTCCTTCAGCCCATTGTTGTGTGTGTTTCCACCGTGGTGGACCTGCAAAGATTAGGCAAATTAACCAGCTGACATAGGCTGTAGGCCTATACTGCGCATAAAGTGATGCATAGGCATCATTATTTAGTAACCACTATCCATGAGCAAAGTTTATAAATGAACATTAGATTTGATTGGAATATAATGAAAAACTATAGGCTATGTGTGACCATTAAAAACAGCTTTTTGCGTGGGAGGATAATGAAGAGACACATGATAAATTTCGTTACAAATTCAATAACAAATTGGATAAAGCCATCAAGTTCTTAAAATAACTCCAGCACAGAGAAAGCAACACAAAAATTAAATTACGACAGTTTGGAAGGTTATTAAAACATTTCCAGCCAACAAGAGCTGCTGATCAGCTGGCCAGACTCACGTCTGTGTCCGCCTGTGTGTCGGAGTAACGTGATGTTTAATGAGCTTTATTACTTGCTGTTACAAGCTGTTCCGCTTGTTTTGGAGAAGAGGAGACCGACTTCGGCTCCATGTAAAAAATCCCTCACTGATGAAAACTTTAAATAACAACTCCAGACCCAGTATTTAGCTTAACTCCATAAGCTGTTCGCTGTTAACACACCGCTGCACGCTGGCTGCTATTTCCGAGTAATACATTTAATACTCACTAATACAAAGATTGGTCTTTGTATTGTATTTAATTTGGTTTAGAGAATTCCAAAACATGCACACATTTAGCTTTTACTTATGAATGTGTTCAGACTTACTTGACATAACACACAGTTGCCAGGATCACTGCCACAGTGCCCACAACCACACACAGCGAAATAAGAACTGCAGGTTGATTTAAAAGAAAGAGGAAAAGAAAGAGGAAGAGAGCAAGTTAAGGAGTAAATAATGAATGATTGAGTTGGAGTCAGATGCTGAGACATGTCTAATGGGTGCTAAACATAATTATATCTTAGCTTTTTTTCTTATCAAGTGTTGCTAAGGTCATTTTGGGTAAACTTATATCCAACACAAAAGCAATGAACATAGTGTTATGAGAATTCTGTAGTATTCTGTTAGGGCAAATGAAGAATAAAATTGTTTAACAAGAAGTGAGGCTGACAAAATATACCCACAATATCAATCACCTGCTCACACCCTTCTGGTACATCTTGTATCAGCGCCTGAATTTTTCCCCTACCATCTAATAAAAAATAATTTTCACTTTCTGAGTGTTGCTAGAGGGATCTGCTCTCTTAGCATCACTGTTACTGTGTTGCAGACATAAAATCATACTCACTGACAAAAATGCTGTCATTCCTGGGTGCTGGCACAGCTATTGGACCAGCTCGGCCCTCAACTCCAGTTGCCCTGGGCTGGGGGGTCGGTGTATTAGGAAGGGCAGAAGCTACAGGGCCGGGGGATGCAGTGGTGGCATGCATGGTTTCACCCGATGGACGACTCTGGCTTTTCTGTTTCAGTTTGGGGGCATCTGTCTTGCTTTTTTTATCCTCTGTCTGGGAGGTGATGGCAGCTGGAGAGACTGAGTAAGACAGCAACATAGTCATAATCAATATCTGATGGAGATTACTGTCAGTTAGAGGACATGCAGGAAGAAAATACTTTTCTGTCTTATGATTGCGCTCAGTATTCTTACCAAGATGATTGGATGGTGTTTTCGGTGGTTTCATCAGTTCCTGTTTTTCGATGACAGAGTGAATGTAATCAATTTCTTCATCCACGTCAGGGTAGACCACCACTTTGCCTGAAGAACAGAGAAGATTCAAAGTTTTACTAATTAAATTTGTCAAAAATTAAATGGATTTTAATCGTCTTTGTAAACAGCAAAAACCGAAAAAGTTAGTAACCAATCACAGTAACTTCATATGTATCACAGGCACAGTTACCAGGGCAAAACATCCATGACTGAGGTTGCCATATCAACAACCATTTAGCCACACTCTACTATTATTAACATATGAATATTCAAACAGAGGAGCAACTGAAGCTTGTCCACCTTCATGACTGTGTGTAATGTGTAAGTAAGGGAGAGACAGCGAGCACACGCATATGGTTTAGGTACGTATACATGCCTGTCCCCCAACCTCCACATGTGTTTTTCAGGGTGTTGCCTCTGAAGTGATGGACAGGGAGTGTGTCCATGTGGGCTGTTTGTTTGTGGGTTGATAAATAAAAAAGGAGACAATACTAAACTGTAGTTAACAGCCCTTACGGCCAGACAGTCAGTCACATTCCTGCAGTAGTCTCCGGGGCGACAAGGGGTAATAGTGTGTGTGTGGCCAGGGGAGGAACCACCGCAGGGGGCAGGAGCAATCAGCCAAACTTTGGCTTCACTGGGCTTCAGTTGCTGCATCCACAATAGATCCCATAGCTCACAACTAATGGAGGTAATCAAAGTTACCCTGCAATACATCAAATTATAGGTATTTGCACTCAAAGCTGGAGAGCAAGTTATGAGAAAAAAAGTTGAGAATCCAAAAAGCTCAAAAAAAAAAGTTGCTTGGATAAAAAGCTAATTTAGCATGATATAATCCATTCAGCATCTGGAGCCAATACAGGTAAAATTGTTTTGTATAACATCCATGTAAAAACAAGTGCGACAAAAATAAATGACCAGTGCCGGCAAATCTATCTCAACAAATGTATTACATATTATCACAACCACCTACATCACATTAATGATAACAGTGTCACTTTCACTCCAGAAGGCTGGCCATCTGGCTGAGCTAATGTGGATGCTATGACATGACAGCATTTTCACTGCCTGCTTTGTTTTTTTCTTACCCCCCTCCACTAATGGCCATTTAGTGCACTCCATAGCAGGTGTCTGTAGAGGCGGGATGCGCCATCTGTACTTTGCAGGTGGTTGAGAGCTCCAACTATGCCAGTGTGCTCGCTAGGAGCATGGGGTAATACAGGTTTAAATTTCAGAGAAATCTCAAAAAAGCGGTATTTATTTAAAGGGAAATCTTGAGAACACCACTAAGGCTGAAGTTGACAATTCACCTAAAAAAAGTGCCAATTGTGTGTATATGTGTGGTTTGTCACACGCTGGCTAAGCACGCACACCTCTCCTTGTGTAAGAGAGTTTTGTCACTGGCTTGATAATGACCCATAACCTCTTGAGAAGCACCCAGGGGGTGGTTGGGTACAACAAACAAACAAATACTAAACAGCTCGAAAAGGACTGAGGGTCTCTCACACACACACACACACACACACACACACACACACACACACACACACACACACACACACACACACACACACACACACACACTGTGCCGTTCCATTTTCCCACTTAAAAACCATTCACATGTCTTCCTCCCCCAAAACACACCGGTACACACACACTCCCTTCCTGCCCGCCTTTGTCCTTGTTTAGAAACTCTAAACAGGACTGATTTCTCAGACATTTTCACTTTATTTCCAAAAAAAAGTTTTGCATCTAAACAATATTTTCAACCATTAGATAGTGGATAGATGGAGAATGTAAGACATACAGTCCCCTCCAAAGTATTGGAACGGTAAGGCAAACTCCTTTGTTTTTGTTGTTCACTGAAGATATTTGGGTTTAAAATCAAAAGAGGAGTATGAGACAAGAGTTCAGAATTTCAGCTCTCATTTCCTAGTATTCACATCTAGATGTGTTAAACAACTCATGAGGACATATCACCCTTTGTTTGAACCCACCCATTCTTCAAGTGAGCAAAACTATTGGAACATGTGACTGACAGATGTTTCTTGTTACCCAGGTGTTGCCTTTTAGGTTGATTGTCATCATCAACATTAAATAGCTCTGCATGACTAGTCTAAGTTTTCACCCTTGGTTCAAACCTATAAAGACTGCATTTCCTGTTAAAGAGGATAAACCAACATGAAGACCAGAGAGCTGTCTATGGGAAAAAAGCAAGCCATTGTCAAGCTGAGAAAAGAAGGAAAATCGACCAGAGCCATCAGACAAACATTGGGCATAACAAGCACAACAATTTGGAATGTCCTGAAAAAGAAAGAAACTACTGGTGTACTGAGCAACAGACGTCCAACAAGTCGGCCAAGGAAAATAACAGTAGTTGACGACAGAAATATCGTGAGAGCTGTGAAGAAAACCCGCAAAACATCAGTAAGTGGCAACACCAACGACCTCCACAGTGCAGGGGTGAAGGTATCACAATCCACTGTTGGAAGAAGACTCAGAGCAGAAATATAGAGGCCACACCACAAGATGCAAACCACTCATCAGCAGGAAGAATCGGAAGGCCAGATTGAAATTTGCAAAGAAGTTCTGAAACACAATCTTATGGACCGATGAGACCAAGATTAATCTCTACCAAAGTGATGGAAAGGCCAAAATGTGGAGAAAGAAAGGAACTGCTTATGATCCAAAGCATACAAGCTCATCTGTGAAGCATGCTGGAGGTAATGTCGTGGCTTGGGCGTGCACGGCTGCTTCTGGAACAGGCTCATTAATATTTATTGATGATGTAACTGATGATGGTAGAAGCAGAATGAATTCACAAGTGTACGGAAACATTTTGTCTGCCAATTTACGGAGAAATGCATTGAAACTAACCGGGAGGACGTTTATCATGCAGCAGGACAATGACCCAAAGCACACTGCCAACAAAACAAAGGACTTCTTCAGGGGAAAAAGTGGAAGGTTATAGACTGGTTTTAGAAGTCAATCACCTGACCTTAACCCAATAGAGCATTTCACCTCCTTATGAGGAGACTGAAGGGAAAACACCTCAAAACAAACAAGAAGTGAAAGAAGCTGCGGTAAAAGCCTGGAATAGCATCACAAATAAACAATGCAACAGTTTGGTGATGTCGATGGGTCGCAGGCTTGAGGCAGTTATTGCAAGCAAGGGTTATGCCACCAAATATTAAATGTTATTTACTTTAGGATTATTTATTCCATTACTTTTGCTCACCTAAGAATGCTGTGGTCTAAAACAAAGGGTGATTTTTGAAGACTTTTGAACCCAAATGTCTTCAGTGAACAACAAAAACAAAGGAATTTGCCTTCCAATACTTTTGGAGCAGACTGTACATTAATTTTTATTGACATGTTGTTCAGTTATCTCAGCTGGTAAAGTGCAGGACCTGCAACCCTAGGGTTGAGTGTTTGAACCTTTGCTTACACTTTCCATGTTATCTGTCAATGGCCAAGTGACAATAATATATGGTTTTACTATATTTAAGTAAATATAATCTCTTAATAATATACCTAAAGAAACCTCATTTCTTGACTGGCTCATCTCTTCTGTCTCAGAAAAGACACGTTGTTCTGTGTCAGCCACCGTAGCTGTCCTACACTCTTTGAAAGGGTAGAGAGCAGTGGTAGACTGGAAAGTTGGTTGTAATTTGCAACCCTCACCACTACATGATGTCACTAAATCTTACACACTGAACCTTTAATGTCAAATGTCCACCACAAGTTACCAGAGCCCAAAGTGAAGGCCAGAAAAATGACAAATTGAGTCCTCAACCAACAGCCAAAAACAAAACATAAAAAGGTAATAAATTAACTGAGAAATAAATTCCTTAAATCTTCAATCATCAATCTTTCTTAGAAGTAGAAGGGGAAGTTGTCACTGAGCACAAGGCTTCCCCGTTCACAGTGAGTGTGTCCTGCTGCCCTCTAGTGGGTAATTTAATAGGATGCATGCGAAAGGAAGAGAGACTACAGAGAGACTGGGTCAAAACAGAGAAATGGGGTCAGTTTGACCGATAGCTCATTCTCATATATCCGAAACCAGGACTCAAAATACAAAAAGTGCACTGCTAGTTTCACATCTTTCTAATTCATGAGCTCTTTCCACTGTTTGGAGAAAAGGTCTACAAGGAAACAGATCAAAAAGGTCACGGTTTAAACACAAACACATCAACTTTATTAATCTGTTTTTGGAACAAAGGAGTGGCGCACAGTTAAAATGTAATTTCGCCCATGAACTGTAAAGTTGGTAAGGTGGCGTACCTTATAACTGTGACAATGAGTCACCCACCTGCTATAAATAGTTAGTCACAGCAGAGCTTCAAGTCAATATGGTAAATGTTCTAACCTTCAATAAATAGTCCCACCAGTCTTTCATCAATCATGTTAAAAAATGCACCCTTTGTTTCAACAACTTTGTTTCTTCAGAACTTAGGCCAATTGACAGCAAATAAATCTGTATACAAATAAATTTAAGTTTAAGATAAAACAGTAGTGATATCAGATATTCATCTCTATCGATTAAAGCAAAGAAAAGCAATTCACTGTTTCACTGAAAGGGTGTAAAACTTTAGTTTGGCTTTCCATCAATTTAGTGATGTAACTTGTTTGTTAGCAAAGTAAACTGCTGCAGGATATTTGTTCATGTTGTGTGTCGCTGAGCCACTCAGCAGCTGTTGAGAGTGTCTTGGTCTTTACAGTTTGATGAATGCTCTATTATATATTGCATACATATTTTTGGAGAAAGAGATGCAGGAGGACACCAGGCTACATAGAAACTGCCCTGCCTTCAGCACATACATGATTTAACTATATAAAGAATACTTACCATTCACTGTGTGTTTTTATGTGTCTTCTGAACAAAGTACATGGCTTCGAGGCATATTATATGTTTACCAATGGCAGTGCACGCCTCCATGTCAAATACAAGCAGGTTCTACTTACAATAAAAAGTACTTCCTGCCTCACTTGTTCACCTACTATGCACTTTCTTCCTCTCTGAACTGAGTATGTGAAATATTAGACATTATAGACTCCATACAGTGTGATTTCCAGTGATTGCAACAGTAGAATAACATTGAATTCCTGCAAATTACAGGCAATCAAACTACAAGAACAGACCAACATGTGGAAGGCCACTGAGGTATAATAAATGTATGACAAAGAAGCTGATTCAGAGGAAAAGGAAGCAAGAAAGAGGAACATCAGTTTAGATATCAGTAAAAGATGTGGTGTGAGATGGGAGTTTCATCCCTCTCGAAGTGAGTAAGAACCATGACATTACAAGGAAGAGAGAGCTAAACCCTAGCCCTGGCCTCCATCCTTCCATCCATCGTCAACCGCTTATCTTGCATACAGGGTCGTGGGGGGCTAGAGCCAGTCCTAGCTTACATCGTGCAAAAGGCGGGGTGCACCCTGGACAGGTCGCCAGTACCCTAGCCCTGCCATTAATAATAATTTAGTAGAGCAATACTATGGTCATACAATTTAGTTTGATAATTGATTGGTTGATTTAATTGAAAAATAATCACTGTATTTTTGTCCCTAGAAGATAAATGCATTCATGCAGAAGGGAGATAAAAAATAGTTATTAAAGGCCAAAGCACATTTAAAAATGTTAACTTGGCATTTAAAATGGACCAATGACCAACCAAGATCAATTTGACAGCCCGTTTAAGCCCGTTTAAGTCCATGATGTGGTAGGAGGGAGTAAAGCAGCCTTATAGCAGGAGCTGTAGCCTCACAGTCTACTCTGAGGATTTGAATTTGATTTGACTCTAGAGCTGCATTGATGAGGTAGGATCCTGGGTGGTGTAAGACCAGCATGACTGCAGTATCCTGGATGAGATGGACTTATTATAAGGGCATAGCTGTATCCTGCCACTCTGATGCAGAATTACGCATCATGCACTTTTTCTGCTGTACATACACACATGCAATCGGAGCAGCTAAGTCTATCAAAACATGTGACTTTAAAAAATGCTCTACATTACTATTATTCTAAAGAAAAGTAGAAAAGCTCAAAATTTTACCTCACTGCACAGCCAGTGAGTCAGCTTGATGATGATGATGATGATGAGATGGGACAAGTTAGAAATTGAATTGGATGAACAAATGGGTACATTTTCTGATGCAAGCTGAGTGTACATGTGCGTGTGTGAGAGAAACAGAAAGAGAATGAATGGACGTATAGTGGGGGTGCAGGCAAATCATGCGTCTGTATTTTAGTGTTGAAAATGTGTATTTTTCATGCTTTAGCAAGCATACTAAAGTTTAAGATAATCAGTTGCTCCGTCCTGAAAACACAGCCATCATATTTCCTGTGAAGTGTCAACAGAATGACTTCAGAGGTCTGAATTTTGTAGGTGTAATTTGCAGTCAGTAATGCTGCCAAACCAACAAGGCAGCATTACTTTATTCTGTTATTGTGATGCATTAAGACATCTGCGCTGCCACTGACAAACCAAATATTATATTTATATTTAGGAGTGAAATCGCATTCATTTCATTTCAACACGTTGTGTGTGTTTGTGTATATATGATTTTGTGCATGCGAGTGTGAAAAAGAGACAGTCGGTATCCCATGTGGATCACTGTGTACTGTGGTCTCTCGGGGGTTTATGTAACCACTTTAGGGAGCTTAGCTGAGGCCTGTGATGTGCTGGTGTCACACACACACACACACACAAAATAGAAATACAATCCAAAGTGTGATTTCTTCTAACTGACCAGGCCACATCACCATATGGGGGTGCCGCTACAAATCCTCTCTTCTCCTGCACGATGTGACCTTTCTGTCCAATACATCCTTCTCATGTTTACATCTCTCTCTGATGCTGCCGCCTATAATTTCAGCCAAGTTTGTATTGTATCCTCTACTGCCGCAGACCCATCTAAATTATTAATCCTGCAGAGAACGCACACGTGTCCACTAGCAGACATAAACACAAACAGTGCACTCAAATACACACAACATGTTGCCATTTCTCTCTTATTTCTGCAGTGCCGTCCTAAAGCATGGCGTGCGTGCCAGAAGTGCGATGCCATGCCATGGAAATCAGAAAAACAAGATTTATTTTTGCAGCTTGGCTCTTTCATTGAATTACATTAGATTCAGTGATGGAGATGAAGGGCAAGAAGGAGAGGGGGAGAGAGAGAGAGATGCATGTCATCTAAGTGATTAAAGCCGCCAGTGCGGGGCGGTGCATGTGTGTGTTGCAGACACAGCAGGGGCAGAGGCGGATTAAAAAAAAACACAGGATCAGACTGCACCACAGTTGTCAGAGATATGGGTGGGAGAAGGAGGGAGGGCAAGGACCACAACAAGGACATAGAGAGAAGAGAACTGGACAAGAAAAGAGCAAATTGGAGGAGATACACGAGATACTGAAAGGGAGAAGGAATAAAGAGATCAAACTAAGATTGGCAGGGGAGGAGAAAGAGAGCACAGAATCAATAGGCAATTGAGAGAAAGAGGCAGAGTGGAAGAGAGATGTGGGCAACAGGATACAGCTATCAACTGAAAAGAAAAGACAGTGAATAAGAATGAAAGGGGAGTGAAGATGTTAAGGAAAACAGAGAAAGAATGGCAGTGAGTCAGTCAGTGCGTTTACGTGCACTCAAATAATTTCATTATAACCAGAGTGAAGCGATTGTTGTAACTCATTTAAAACGTAAGCAGGTTATCTAACTGGAATTCAGGTTGTAATTAGAATAAGCAGAAGCTGGTTATTCATCAGTCTTCAATTTACTCTTGCCAAGCTCAGTCTTCTCTGTCTTTTCCTTCAGCAAACACACTAGACATGCAGTGTACAGATGTGTGTTTGTAAAATAGTTTTCTCTATTAATTAATTAATGGCTTTGTCTGGCTAAAATGTACAAGAAAACAATATACATGTTCCTTTACAATTTCCTTCAGCACAAGGTGGCATCTTCTAATTCCTTGTGTCATCCGATCAACAGTCGAAAATCCGAAGATATTCCATTTACAATAATATAAAGACAAAAGACAAAGAAAAACAGCAAATCCCCACAAGCTGGAAGCACAGTATTTGACGTTATTTCTTGAAAACCAACTTAAATGATAGATTGATCATCACAATAGCTGTTCATTTTTTTGTCAAACAACTAATAAATTGATCAACTAAACTAACTAAATGGCTGCGCATGCAGACACTGCGGCCTACAGCTCCTTTAAAGTTTTTTTTTCTTTCCGTCTTTATTGAGGAAACACGACAGAAACACAGTCAGTGGACATTGGATAAAGAAGGGTTCGGATTAAAGAGCAGACCTGTTCCATCTCTCCGGGTGAAGCACTTGCCGGGCGGACCGTGACAGAGGGCAAGACTTCTGCTAAATGAGGAGGAGGCAGACTCTGTGTTTACATCGATGTTGCTTGGTGCTCAAACGCAGTCAAAATTGACACTTTTTGTGTGAAGACGAAAAACCGTATGATCATCACTATCTTGTTGCTACTATTTAAATTCTCACAGATGCAAATTCAAAAAATGCACTGTAGAATTATTTCCTGGGTGTATACATGTATGCATATATCTATATAAATAACTGTATGTTACCATATTCACGTGTAGCTTGAAGGGACTACAAACTTTCATTTCATTGTGTTGTAAAATGATAAATAAACTACGTTGATACACTGAACTAATCAATTTTAGCTCTAATTCAAACAGAGGTAATGCTGGAGGCTGTGAAAACACCAACAATATAAATAATCAAAACAATAATTCTGCATCTTTACCCTGACAATGTCTGACGTGTGTATGTTATACATATGAAATGTTGTCGATAAACCAAACCCAATGTGTACTCTAAATTCAATGATTCATTCTTCTCCATTTCTTTGTAGTGTTATTTGATTTTAGCCTGCAGGGTACCATAAATCTTCCAGACATTGAATGTCTAATTAGCTAATCTTAACGTAATCTTACTATAGCAAGTTATTTGTGTCCATATAAATGCACTGAATGAGTTAGTCAATCCGTGTGATTGAAAATCTGGGAAAGGGCGGCTTCTCTGAAATCCCTTCTTTCTGTATCAGTTCACCAATTTACTTTTACCGTTTTAAGTTTCAGATGCAATGTGAAAAGCAGGAGCTTTTATATGTAGTGAATCTGTCCTTCATGAGTGCATCTGTCTGTGAAATGTTTTTTTGTTATTAAATTTCATACCATGCTGTTGGTGCCTCTTCCTCACCACGCAGCGTCCCTTCTCGTTCTCCTCCAATGGGGAGAGGCAGGAGCCACAGTGGGACGAGCCAGGCCTGCAGTAGTGGCGTCCCTCTCTGGCACAGTCTAAACGACGAGGGCACTTACTGCCAGCTGGGTGGGTGAGAGCGAGAGCGAGAGAGAGAGAGAGCGAGAGAGAGACGACAACAGTTCCATTAGTATTCCCCTGTGATGCAGAAATTATGCTTTTAATGAGGCAGTTAAATATTAGTCCGTGTGTGGAAAGAAGTACTACAAAATGCCCTCAATAAGAGATGCTTCAACTTTATAACCGGCACTCGGTTCATTAGTGGATATGTCTGCTCTTCAGCTCTATCCAGAAATGAAACATCTTCAACAACTTGACTGAGATTTTGAAAACAGTTTTAAGTTTGCTGTAACCTCATCACGGCTTCCATATAGGCAAGGTTTGCCAGATAGGACAGGAATGTTTGGACAGTAAGAAAAGCACATTTTGCAATGCAGTGAGCCCCACCTGTTTGGCAATCTGTGTCAGGTTAAACCAAAGTAAAGAGTGATGTACAGCTGCTCTCTCACAGACCTGCCCGCAATCAGGTTAGATAACCGCCTGACCTGATTACTGCCAGTGTGACACAAAAAAAACAACCCAAAGGCCGTATTTAGATACAAACACATACGCATCCGGCACAGATACACAAAGGAAGAAGTGGGTCACAGAACCACTGCAGGTGTGTTTGGTAGCAGAGGGCAGGTGGAGCACGGGGACGCTATTAGAGTGGATAATGAGACCAGCAGAGCTGCACTGCGGGCCAGCTAAAGGTGAACAGCACAGAGGGTGATGATACTGACAGGGGGTTGTGTAAGGTGGGAAGAGGATGGAGGATCCCAGCATTTCTGAGAGATACTGGGTCTGAAAAGTCAAGGTTGTTCATGTCTAAAGGTGACAGATCAGCATTGTTAAAACCCCCTTTGTAAAGAAACATGAAAACAAATGGTTTGAGCTTGGTGGGTCATACCTTTGCAGTAGCCAGTGAGACGGAAGAACATTTTGATAAATGTTAAATTTTTACTTTAAGTATTTAAATGTTTTACAGAAGTGGATAAACAGGCCAATTGTAGTCAACAGTTTGATGTTTTGTTTTATTTTTTGATTTATTAACTAACCATTACAATGTGGCATTGATAAATCAGAACTCACATAGGGTCTATGAGATAACTAAAAAAAAACTACATTGAAAATTATTGTTTTTCTGTTTTGAAACAGAGTACAGTCATTCCTCCTTTCTTAGCCTGATTTTTTTTTTCCAACTGCATCATAAGGGGAGATAATTACACATGACAGGAGTTCGCTGAGGGGGAAATCTCAATGACCTGCATGGCAACAAGGCCTGTAATATAACAGGGAAGATGTGCTGTTGAAGGAGCACATGTGCAGACAGGGAGTGTTGCAGAGACGAAGAGCAGATAGAAGAGGGGGCTGGACACTGATGCTTGCCAGACAATAGATATAAGATTTAATCTTTACCATGTGGTTATGGTGTGTATTTCTTGCTCATAACTCTAGTGTGGATTAATCACTGTATTTGTGACAATACAGAGTTCATGTATATTACCCATTTTCCACTACTACTACTGCTGCTACTGACTTGTTATATGGCAGTGGTTCTCAAACTTTTTCATGTCAAGGACCCCTAAACTGACGCAAATTAGACCACAGACCCCCATTTGATAAGATTTTGTCCCAGGAACGCCCAGCTGATAGGATTTTGCCTTTTAGATGTTTTATTCCAGAAAGTGTATGAAATCCATCACCAAAATAGTCATGCGTTCAGTCACTATGTTGCCCCTGGAACCACCTCAAAGACTCCTGGGGGTCTCACTTTGAGAACCACTGTTATATGGGATATGGGAAGTCATTTGACTAAATGCACAATCCCCTCTCTTACAATCTGCATTTCATGGACAGTTTGGTCTGTTTTTGATACAGTCCTCCAAGGTACATTGTATAAATTCTGTTGATTTAGGCCACAGATTTCTTTGTATAGGTTACTTAATGATGAAATATTGATTAATGAAAATGGAATATAACTACATTTTGAAAAGAGTTGCCAATCAAATGTTTGTATTACAGAATACATGTAGTAATAAAGATACAAAAAAATCTGCACTACTGAACACTACTGGAAACAAATTAAACTAAATACAAATACGAATTAAAATCTGAAAAGTGTGCAAATACCTCAGATTGAAAGACAAATACTATATACTACACTATATACTATAAAAAGATATATACATTCCACATACCCACGGGAAAGAATAAAGGTTCATATTATCTTATCTTAAGTCTACACATAACAGGGGCACCACAGGGAGGCAGACACACATGCTAAAATCTAAAATGTCATTGACTTGTCTGCCTCAGGGAGTAGGCAGCACAGTGACGCAGGTGTAATTGGAGAAACTTTGTTTTGCTTTCTGTTTGTGTCAAAGATACAGAAAGAGCAGGAGGTGATGGGAGATTTCTTGGGAAAGCAGATGTTTTGCTTAGTGCCATGAATCACATTGGCATAAAACTATGCAGGTGCCTGAGCGCTTTTGATCGTTGGTTGTTGTTGAAAGTCATGCTCTGTCTTTTTCTGTTACCATGGCCTAGCAACAGATCTGTCACCTCTACATTTAATTACAGCATCACCTGCTCTCGACCCCGTTGTCAAGTTATTCCACCTCCCTGTGAGTGTAACATGCTCGTGTGCCGAGCCCCCTCATTCTCGTTTCCATCCAAGATTGTTCACTCTCTTAAATATTTCCTCCAATTGTTGTGGCATCTATTTTTACCACGCCACGTGCCTTCCTTTTAATTTCCCTCCAGGTATCAAACCTTTTCACTGAATCTTTTCAAGTGTTCTGGTTAATTTCCTTCAATACCCATGACCTTAGAGGAAAAGAAAAGTGCCAATAGAAATAGACTGTCCTTGTGGTATTTTATATGAGTGTGTACAGTTGGTGTAAATGGCGTAAACTAATTATAATTCATTTTTGGGCACGTGTGTGCATGTGCATGCCCTAAGCCGCAAAACTTCATGCAAAAAAACACTGATTCACTCACATTCAAAATCTGCAAGATGTAGTCTCCCTTTAACCCTCTTTTACCTCCGTGGTAGCTTTCATTCTTACTCCCACACACAAGCATAATTGCAGATAGTATTTCAGATCTCTTGTTGGAAGTAAGAAGAAGAGATTTTAGCTAGCTTGAATAGATGTTGATCAAATAAAGGGTACAGTATCATATTATATATATACATATATATATATATATATTACATATTATTTTAATTATTGATTAATCTGCTAATTACCTTCTCCATAAATCATATGGTCTATAAAAAAATTGTGAAAATGCCAAAGTTGACATTTTCAAATTTGCTTGTTTTGTTTAACTAACAGTCCAAAACCCAAAATGATTCAGTTTATTATTATTATGAGGAAAAACAGTTAATATTTTGGACCCAGTTCATTTTCAAGCAGTTTTGCTTTTTTTTAAAATTACTAGAGAGAAGCGTTCATCATTTCTTCACTGAGCATTGTTAAATTGAGAGAAGATTGCTATGCCAGTCTAAGATATTTTACTGAAAATAAAGATGTCTTTGCTGTGTTGAATGCTGCATGGCTGGGAGTGGTTTAACACTGCCCAAATAGTTGGGCCAAGCAATGTCATTATTAAATAACCTCAGTTCTCAACTATTACTATATAACTCCATATCAAGTCACCTGCCCTTTCTCTATCCTGTCTCATTCTCCCCACCTCACCCACAAGTCCTGCTGTCAAATTGTTCTACCGCCCATTTTTTAACTCTTTGATCCGGTAACTGTCTGAGGATCAAGGGCTGTTTAAAACAAGATCAGGTGCAGATGACTGCACTCATGTCACAGATCAAACAAGCCATTCCAGTCTCGAGCTCCTTGACCTTTCTACATTGCGAGTATTGGCCAACTTGTCAGATTCGTGCCTGGGTGTTTGGACGTGTGCTTGCTAGGGCTGGATCTTATGTCACATCCCCTGACGATGAAGCCTAATAGGGGTGTTTGAGATGACTACAGCTGACTTGAAGTCAAATGCACCTAATGAATGATACCCCGACTTTTCATTTAGCGTCAGCCAGCATGCGAAAAAGCTAAACTACATTAGTGAACACAGTAAACATTATAACTGCTAAAGATCAGCATGTTGGCACTGTCACTGTGCACATGTTAGCTTGCTTAAATTGGCATATAGCTGAAAGCACCACTGTGCAGTACACAAAAACATGACTCTCTTGTTTTTCTATTTTGTTGAGATTTTGAGGCCAAAGTTGTAACTGAAAGACTGTTGACTGCCCCCGTTAATGTTCCATATAGGTACAACGTTTCAAGACCAAACTGGCTCTTAGTCAGGGACACTCTTTTTTTTTGTACAGAAATCTGTCATGCACTACATTTATTCACTGCATTATGAAGTGCTTTCAGTTCACATTTTTGAACAAATGAGATAAACAGAGGCTTTAGACTTCTTAAAATGTTCACATGTGCCATTATTTAAATGTCAGTCAGTGATGAAAACAGCTCCAGAGTGAGACTGTCTGTAGTAAAAGCATGGTACGTCTAGGCGTCAGTATTACAGGAGAATGAATTGAGACATTGGTGCAGTAATTTTGAGATAATCCATCGTAAGAGACTGCCTCTCAGTCAATTGCTCAATCATTCCATGTATTTGTCTGGACCCATACCGGTCACCATGTACAAAAAAGGCAAATCTGCTAATCCTCCCACATAAACGAACCACTCGTGTCTAAGACTTAATGGGAAGAGACATTCAATCCCTGCTGTTTATAATGAAGCTAGAATTTCACCACCTCTAGCCGCCACGTCGTCTGTTATTCATTATGTGTGAAGTTAATACAGTGGAACCTATTGCAGTCGCATGAATACAGATAATTATTCTCCTCACACACAAGCACTAATACATACGAAAACACACACCTAGGTATAAACCTACTGTATGTGTGCGTCATTATGAATGTGTGAGGCAGGCCAATGGTGAGAAAAATCAACGGAAGCGTGAAAATCAGGGAAGAGCATATACAAGTCAAATA